TTGGTGATAGTAGCTAGTAGCCTTGTCTTACTCCTTCCAGTTTTCACTTCAAAAGCATCACTGATTTGAGTTTTCCGTTGTGGATCACTTGGCAACTGCCACATTACTTCTTGGTCGAAAATGCGCATATACACAATTTTAATGCTAGTCATTACTAAATGTATGTTTGACTTCACTAACTTTCAACAAATTTCTGTAATTTTCTGTACCTACAGACTACTTTTTTGTGAGTCAGAGTTAGTAAGCTCAGTAATAGACTGTAACAACGTGTTATTTCAACAGTTTTAACTAAGGGGGAGTGGTATTATGGTCCAAAACAACTGTCCTAGTTCTCAGTTCTTTCATTCATAGTCATATTTCAATGCAAACAATTTTATTCAATGTATTTCAAATGAACCAACTAATTGGGTCCCAAACAGGATGAAACGCACGTTCTGGACTCAACAAACTTATTCATAACAATAAATATTTTGGGCAATATCGAAGCGTCTGCATAAGAACCAATATGTCAGTAGAAGTCGATCAGTACCATTCAGTATAACAACAAAAAATTATAGGTATCAACAAATATTAATAAATAAAACCCAAGAAAGGTGTGTACATCATGGAATGGATTAGCTTATTACAAGTGAAGTTTCAGTAAAACGTTAACACACAAGAACTTAAGAATTTACTTTCGATGCAATAAGTAATACAGATAACGTGCCTGAGTGATCTAGTGGACAAATCTTTGGCGTAGACTACGAAACATGCCCATTGAGTCATAGAGAAGAGATTTTCTTTTTCGACGATATCATTTTCTATAGCTGTACAGTCGTATTCATGTATAGATCATAAACATATAAATGTCTATTATAAAACAATAGGGTATAATTACATCATTAACTTAGTACTAGAAAAACCGGAATCAAGAATGCAAAGTAGTTGCGCAATAAACTAAAACAGTAGAAATAACGAGGAAGGCAAGGAGTTTGACAAGATGAAGATTGTTGGTAGATAAGAAACGCAAATATTGAGTGTCTACTTGATAGATAGATGGATGTAAAGAATGTGGAGAATGAGACAAGGGTCATAATGAAGGTGATAATAATAAACTGATTAATTATAATGAAATCGAAGAAAGAATGTGAAAGTGTTTAGACCATGGTAAGATGAGAGATTGAGCATACTACTTCTGCATGCCGAGATCGGGCTTGAATTGATGAATTGCCAGTGTCTCCGTTGTGCATAACTGTCGAAGGTGTACTCCTTTTGTAGTATTCCATCTGACACGATAAATGACATTGAAGGAAAATTTTGATCTAGTTTCATGTCCAGAATTGACCAAATGTTCAAGAATTGAACTGTCAATTGATTTACATTCTCTGATTGATTATGATGATTAGCCCATCTTTTCAAGTAATTTATTTGAAAATTGGTCGTTTCTATGAGAATTTAATCTTTACTTCATTCCATTTGGAATAAAAAGCCTTACCTTACAAGTAACTGAATCATTTTGTCAAGTAATTATGCTACTGGCGTTCTTCTTCCATCGGGTTAATGAGCATGACAATATTTCTTTGCATAGTAAAAGCTCAAGGCTGCACAAAGCGCACGCTTTCCAAATGTATCTCGGAGCACTATCCTGAATAGTTGTCGAGGGGAGAATGTAAATCAATTAACAGTTCAATTCTTGAACATTTGGTCAACTCTGGACATAAAGCTAGACCAGAATCTTCTTTCAATGTCATTTATCGTGTCAGATGGAATAGTTCAAAAGGAGCACACCTTCGACAGCCTGATCTCTGCGTGCAAAACAAGTATGTTTAATCTCTCGTCTAACCATGGTCTTAACACTTCCACATTCTTTCTTCGATTTCATTATAATTAAGTAGTTTATTATTACCACCTTCATTATGACCCTTGTCTCATTCTTCACCTTCTCTACATCCGTCTATCTATCTACCTATCTATCTATCTATCTATCTATCAAGTGAACACTCAATATTTGCGTTTCTTATCTACCAACAATCTTCATCTTGTCAAACTCCTTGCCTTCCTCGTTATTTCTACTGTTTTAGTTTATTGCGCAACTACTTTGCATTCTTGATTCCGGTTTTTCTAGTACTAAGTTAATGATGTAATTATACCCTATTGTTTTATAATAGACATTTATATGTTTATGATCCATACATGAATACGACTGTACAGCTATAGAAAATGATGTCGTCGAAAAAGAAAATTTTCCTCACTGAATTATCTCTTCTCTCTAAATCTTTGGCTTTTGAAGTGATAAGTACAAGGTTCGAGTGTCAGTGGGAATAACATCGCTCTCTGAGAAACAGTTATATCAAGCTGACGAGTCCGAAATAGGACGAAATAGGTATCCTGGATTTTACTACTAGCCACAACAAAGTCTATCATTTACGTAACAAGTTTATAAAACTGACTGAAATCCACATTAGTAGTCATATTGACCTCTTTAATTTGGATTGATACATTTAACCGGCATAGTGAAGAAAACGCCTTACAACAACAAACATATTGTGTACACAGGTGTATATTTAGATTTATAACTTCTCACTTCATTGTGTTGTTATAAAAACACTCTCATCTATATGGTATACACGAGAAGAAAGTCTCAAAGGATATACATAAAAAATCATGACCAATGAAGTATTTAGAGTTAATCAACTGAATATGTATTGGTTAACGTTCATTGCTTTACATCCATTGACAAGGATTTACCACTTCTGCCCATCAAATCGGGTTGTATCATATACGCTCACATCATAAATCTGGCTTATAGCCCAGTATATAAATCTGTATCAGTTTAAGTTACAGTTAGTTTTATTAGGTCTCCATTTATTGGTTGTCAGCTAAATTTCACCTTGCACTGACACATCAGTTTGATAACCTTTTGAAAACCTATTATAGGACTCTTCAGCAGTACGCATCTACGACCTTCCAAGAACCAAATTCAGGACTTTCAGGTTTCATGGCAAACGATGAGAGGTTGTAGTATGGATTACTGAGGAGTCCTATACTAGAATGAAATAGTCGTCTAGTACTCCCAGGTTTTCAATAGCCTGCTAACTGATGTCAGCCCAGGACGAATTCGACGTTAAAAATAACATCAAAATGTGTTATCTACCAGTTATTTGTTTATTTATTGTAATCCTATAAGCAATCTTTGATGACTTTGTGTTGACCTTCTAGCCACAATCACCTTGTGATTTTATTGACAATTCTTAATAAAAGACAGTTCAGTGAAGAAAATTTTCTTTCGACGAATTATTTTCTAAAGTTGTACAATCATAATCATAATTACAATAAAATATATATTTTCACCAATAGCTAATTGGTCAATAAAGTTTCAAGGTGATAACAGCTAGAAGGTCAACTCAAGGTCATCAAAAATCACTGTTAGTTATGCCAACAGTTTGACCACTTGGTACAGTGTAAGATTAAGTGTACGTCACTATAGTCTTTTCAGCCACCCAAGTCATAACTGCAGAGTGGATTGCACCAAACGAGTATTTTCAGCACATGTTAACTTAAGCTTACTGTGATTTACCCAGTAAAGCTTTCAATCTTTACTTACAGTTTAGAGTTCTGTTGACATAACGAATAGGTTACTTGACTCAACATGAAATCAGAAAGAATTTTGTACATAAGGACTGTTTACATTTATATAAGTAGGCAAAGTTGAATTGTTTAGTTTGGTACATGAATCCTACTGGACTGGAATTTTCTATATGAATGAGTTTGTCAGGTAAGTGATTAGAATCGTGTGTACCGTTAAAGATAATTATACACAGCCCAACTGCTACGTGCACTGAGTCCACAGTCAAAAGAGTATTGCACTAGTAATCAAGTGACTAATGTATTAGATGGTTAGAGGTGTTCTGCAAGAAGCCTTTCTCGACCTAGGTTTCGCGCTTGTTGACAGTCATCAGCAATCCACATCTACCAATATGTGGAAGCTGGTGTTTACTCCGTGATTCTAACCTTCATCACTCACTGCTGAAGTCAGAGATGTAACTGGATTGTGAACACTGACAGACCACTGGGCAACCAACTTCATGTCGTCTAGTCCTGAAGTTTGATAGAACTCTGTCGATCAATCTGCAATGTGGTCACTAATCTAATCCTACAGCAGGTCAACTGCGGTCCGAATAGCCTAGTGGTAACGTCGTTCACTGCAGCACTAGGGACTCACTGGGGACTTCAGTTTCGCCGAGGTTGCAGATATGCCTTACTGACGAGTGCCTACAAACACGAAACCTAGGTCTAGGGCTTCCTGTCGATTGCCTCCAACCAAGTAATATCCACCGCAAAGCATCGCAGTAGTGAGTCTCCTGGCTTGGTTACCATGTTGTAAAACGATCGATAGAATCTGACCAGTACTTAGGAATAGACAAGATGAAATTGTTTGCCTTACAGTGACTACTCAGTGTGTGTAACCAGTAACCCATTCAAGTCATAAATGATCTTTTTTAGGACTGTATCATATAAAGTAATTAGTCAGCAGCAGGCAACCTACATAACTGTCTAGTCCTGAGTACTTTTGCTCTGATCGAAGTCTATTGATCAGGTTCGAACCTTATGCTTGCAGCCACACATTTCTGATTGGTGCCAACAAGCAAGAAGCCTATATCAGACAGAGTTTCTTCTTGAATGACCAAAATGTCGCTTCACTTTACTTTTTGGCAGCATTACAAAACATAATTAGTAAACTTCTATCAAGCTAAACTCTGAAAACTAGACAAGCTGGTGAGCAATTTAGAAACTGTTGTTTCCAATCATTTGATTCGTCTTCGGTCCTAACCACCACACCTTGAAATTGGTCTTATAAAGCCAATCCTGTCTGAAATATTTAAATGAGCATACAATCTTCAACATTAAAGTATTCTATTTATCTTGTAAATTTAATACAATTCAATATTTAAAGGAAAACAAACAGCATTCTATTTAACTCAAATAAATTTGAAGTCTACTTCAGAGGTGTTCAGCATATTTCATTCTTCACGCTGAAAATAAATCAGAAAATAAACGTTATTATTACGTAATTGTTTTCCGAATAAATATGAGTATCAGTTAGTGTATATATCTGGGATACAACATATATGAAGGAAACCATGGTTCACTATTTAGGTATTCAGTCAAGGATTAAAGCTTCATCAAATCCCTTTCTATAAGTAATCTGAAAATGAGATAAATGACGGAAATGGGAAAGAATGGACCAAGTGGACTGAAACCTAGTGACTGAATTGTAGTTTGCTTGACATAAGACTAGAAGATACTTATTCGATCGCCGTTTTGGTCCTGCATGTGCTCCACTGACAAGTTTAATACTAGTACAAAAGAGCTATCTAATGTTTCCAAGTTTTCAATGTTTCACAGTCTGACGTTAATTCATGATAAAATGTGATACTTTATGAGTAGAATAAAAAGCAAATGAATGAAACATATACAAATCTCTTTCTACTTTTGCCCCGATGAATACATGAAGTAGAATACGATTCAAAAATCAATATATTATTCGTATCTTTTAACTTTTTTCTCTTCTGTGAGATTTAACAGCTATTATTTGGATGGGATCGATCTGCAGGAACTCTTTACTGACTTTTATTTCATGTTTCTTGGCAGTCGTTAGCAAGTAATATCTGTGATATTGATGAAACTGATGTTCTGCCAGAGATTTGAAACCATTTTATCCAGTCTTTCAGTCACAGACATTTCCAGGTTGATAGCGGGCCGAAGTGCTCACTGATGTTCTTCGATGGAACTCGACTTGCCACACCAATCAACACAGATCTTCCTATAAAGAAGCAATGAGTAACCTTCTCAACAGTTACCTGGATTAGTTGGAAGAACACTGGAAACCTGGTAGAATTGGACAACTGTTTCGTCCCAGTATGGGGCTCCTCAGCAGTGCGCAACCGTGACCCCACCACTGGGGCTCGAACCTGGGACCTTAGGATTCCGCGCATACTACGTTACCACTGAGACACTGGGGTGGAATCCTACTTTTGTCGGTTCACTATATAATGCGACCTTCATCCAATGTCGTCGTTGAGTAACTATTCTCATGTTTAACTTGGTTGGTCCGAGCGGTCACGATTTCTCATTGGGACTTCAGGAACCACCTCTCGATACCAGTCACCAATGAGGACTAGAATATAACGAATTCGCGTTGGCAGACATTCTCATCAGAAGTAGATCGGATAGAATCTTACAGATTCGACTGCACAGGGATGTGGCACATACAAATCAAGTTTTGAATTATAAGAGTAAACACTCAACGTCTCATAAGAAGAGATGAATACGAAGACATTTTTGTAGATTCTAAGGCTCAGAGCAATACTCAACAGCTGAAGGAGTCAGAAAACTACCTTCGCAAGGTTTTCCGAGTCAGTGGCTATCCATCAACTTCACTTCGAAACGCCCTTGAACAGATCATACATCAGGACAATTATCTCAAACTACGAACCAACTCACTTTATTAAGTGTCAAAGGTATCTCAAAAACTGTCAGCGGATTACTTCACCAATTCGGTATTACTGAGGCTCAAAAACGAACCAGATCCCTGGACAATATCTTATTTAAGCTAAAGGACTCAGTGTTCAAGGAAAACAAGATCAAAATAATGTGGAAAATTAGTTGAAAAACTATCAATATCAATGTGTTGGTCAATCCAGATCAAAAACTTCAAGAGAATCCCTGGAAGTATGATGCTCCAACTAAGTAGCAGTCAGCATACTGATGAACACTGATCCAATTCATGGACTACTAAGAAGGGGTCAGTTAAACAAATCAACAATCAAGCATTAAGTCAACAGCAAAGGTCAATTTCTGGTAAGAAAGAAGGTCAGGTCACCGCCTCCTCAGTAGTCAGTAACACTCAATCGGTAAATATCATGCAACTTGAAAATGCTTCGCTTCTATATGCAGTAAACGCCCGTGAATTCGCCTAGCTAAATAATGAAACATTCAAAAACAAAGTTTAAAGCTCAATGAATATGGAACAATTATCAGCCACAAATCTTCTCTATTATCAATAAAAGTTTTACTATGGATATATTTTGAGGGAGTTGTGGAGATTTGGAAATATTTCAAGTTGTTATTCATCGAAGACTGACATCAGCTGGAGGAACAAAGGAAACCTGGGAGCACTGGACAGCCGTTTCGTCCCAGTATGGGACTCCTCAGCAGTGCGCGGTTCGATCCCTGGTGGTGGGGTCGTGGGTGCGCACTGCTGAGGAGTCCCATACTGGTCGGACGAAACAGCTGTCCAGTGCTCCCAGGTTTCCTTTGTTCCTCCAGCTGATGTCAGTCTTCGATGAATAACAACTTGAAATATGGATATATTTCTTTTTTCTGGAGCCCGTGGAACCATATCCTATGGCAAGCAATATTGATTACTCATTTAAAAAGTAAGTAGTCTCACACTCACCACCTATCAGTTTGAATAATACTACGAACATGTAGTGTGTATCAGTAGGAAAAATATTTTAGCTTAAAATAAGAATGATCTCAAAGGTTTGTATGTTTCATCATTAGCCTCGGTGACTTCATCGACACTTTTAATGCATAAAGAAATAGACAGACTTTCATGTTGTATGAACATTTTTGTAAGATATTGGTCGCCATTGAGCCTTACTATTTTGTGAGTAGGGATGCTGACAAATTCTCTTAACTATCCGACCAAAGTAGTGATGTCAAAAGTGTTTGCAACTATTTTTTTAGACTATATTCGTCTTGTATTCTTTCGGTAGCCTGTGTAAGATATTCAATAAGGACATGAGTGGTTTGTCTGTCACGCTGATAGTGAATGAATAAAATAGAACGCTGGTAGTTCATTAAATATAATGATATATGATAAAGCCACTCAGCTTGTGGAGAGAAGTAATTATCTTCCTACCTGTGCTATTAAAAAGCCCTTCTTGGTGAAATTGACTTGATTATCAATACATCTGTAGTAAATATTTACACACAATTATTATTACATTACTTGTTCCTATAGTTCCTAATGGAACATAAGGCTTCAGTACCACGTCTCCAATGAGTTCTGTTCTCTGAAATCTCTTGAACCTGGGTCCATGACAGACCACAACCTCTCATTTATTCCTCACAAAATCTCCTACATGTCACAGCCACCTCAGACACCCAACTCGTCGATTCCCATCTGGGTCCCACTCGAGTGCCTGGCCTGACACGTGATGTCCCAAGTCAGCCTTCTCAGTGTATGCACAATCCATCTCCACTCTCTTCCTTCTGCATATTTGTTGAGTGATAGCTTCTTGCTTCGTTGGTTCGTTGCCAGCCAGCCAACCAGAGTCCCTTGTTGCTTATTCATATTATTCTGGCTTTGCGATCTGAGCTTCAGTAACGAGCCAGTGTAGGCGGCAGTTGTTGATGAATGTGTGTAGTTTGTTGGAGATCCCTTTCGTAACGTGTCAAGTCTCTCAACCATCACATAGATGCACTGACTTGACTGTATTGGTGTTGAAAATGCGGATGTTGTTGCCACTTCATGCTGAGTGCAGTGCAGTAGATCTCCACACTGGTTTCGGGTTAGTGGATGCCTGTCTTGCTGAGTTTCTGATGCTGACTGGCTTTGATGTCCTCATCTGTGCGGCCACCACCGCCTGTAGTTGAAACAGTGCTGCCTAGGTTGGTGGTGAAGGATGCTACTTCCTTTAACTTTCTCCAGTTAATGGTGATTGGAGTTTGTTGTTGTTGTTGTTATTGGTGTTGTTGATGGTTGTGTATCTTCATCACCTCTGTTTTCTGTATATTCACTTGAAGTTTCGTCTTTGCTGCCTCTTTTGTCAACTTGTTAGTTTTTGCCTGTAGGTGATCCAGTTTGTGTGAGATTAGACGCAGGTCATCACAGGCAAAATCCAAATCTTCTGGGGTCTTTTCCCCGGTCCAGTATTTCCCCCTCTTCTCTCTCATCACCGTTTGTTGCATAATCCAGTCGAACACAATCAGGAATATCATGGGTGATAGTAGACAGCCTGATTTTACTCTTGTCTCCTGTCTTCACTTCAAAGGCATCACTGAGCTTCCTATTTTGAATTACTTGGCATGTGGCGTCGTATGCACACAATGATGTTGTTTAATTTCGGTATTCATTGATTTGATGTTCAGTAACTCGAACCACTTTGCATAGATGCCTTCTATAATTGTTAAGTACTGCATTGACTCTTAGTAAATGTGAATAGTCATTGCACACATCTCTTTTCATAAGGTGATAAGTTATGAATGATACCATACCGAATTTCATTCACGTTTATCACCTTTCTGTAAGTTTCGTCATATGTTCGTTTGATTACATCGTGATGTACTTTGCTTCACAATCGATCTTTTAAGTGTACCAAACTGACCAGTCTATGTTAGAAAAAAGTCTCTTATACCAATGTCTCGATATTGCCTGGAGGTTATTATGCCAAGAGAGACCCAACCATTTTGTCCAGCATAATAATGAAGACGAAATCACAAATAACAACACATAAAAGCCATTATTTGTTACAAAATAAGAGCCTCAGCAACTTACTCCCTTAGTGCATGACGATCAGGTATCTGAAGCAACTGGTGCTAGATACAGTTCTCAGCGGGAACATCATAACTCACTACGATGCAAATGATGAGTCCTGAGTAGTATGAAATGCCTATCATGAAACTTAAGTCAGTATCAAGGCATATAGAGACCGGTAATTTAGGTCTGCACTCAGCATAAAGAACAAGATCCAGATTTTCAACATCAATCCAGTCAAGTCAGTGCTGCTATCTGATAGTTCAGAAACTTGGTGCGTCACGAAAACCATTTTCAAACAAACTACATACATTCATCAACGTTCACTCCATACTGAATATCAGATGGCCAGAAAGAATAAGCAACAAAGAACTCAATCTGGAAACCAACCACCCAACAAACATTCAGAAGAAGAAAGTTGAGATGGATTGGAGAAGGCCTACTGGGGATATCACGTGCCAGACCACGCCCTCGAGTGGAATCCAAGGGGAAACGACGAGTTGGACGTCTAAGGCAAGGATGATATGGAGGAGATGGTGTGAGAAAGAAATGAAAGGCAACGGGCAGTCATAGAGCGAGGTTGGAAAGACTGCGTAGAACGGAGTGCAATGGAGGTGTTCTACTGAATCTCTACATTCCACTACGAACCCAATAGAAAAATAATAAATAATAATGGTAATAAATGAATGACAAAAGTAGCTCAAGTTCTCATTTGATTATTTTCTACCCCAATGATGATGAAGAATATTTGTAGATTAGAGGGATGATTTTGATAGTGTTGTGTTCTCTGAACTGGATAGTTTAATCGTAAAGGTTCTGTTGTTATTCTAGACATCATCAGCTCAAACTTTAGACAGAACTCTATGCTGCTGATACTTTCTAGAACGACAACATAGCTCAGAGAATACAAAACAAAATGTGGCTAGAAAAGTTCACCTACTCCAAAGCATAAGGAACCGCACCATACTCAAAATATTTTCCAATAATTGAGATTATGTGTAGCTCAAAATGAGGATTAAGGTTGTTCTGTATACTCTTTGAGCTTGAAACATTTCAAAAACGTGAATCAAAGCCTTAAGAACAATGAATGAGCAATTATCAGCTACAAGTTATTGTTTTTTAACATTTCTCTGTTAATCATATTTTTTACTGGTCATTAGGCTGATTAAAATTTCAGTTGTTTATTATCTTGTATTTTCAATTGACAATACATTAATTATAAAATGGTTTACTTTCTTTTTTACTAATATTAAACAATGTAATGCTTTAATTTCAGTATACACCCAAGTGTTGCTAAGTAATCAACATCAATAAGGTAACTCTTTTGTCTAATGCTTAACTACAAACCAATCAATACATTTTCAAGGACATTTAAGGTCATTAAAGAGTAAGTTATTTATTAAAACATTTTTAAAAGCTGTAAGCGATAACCATTAAACGCATATAAACTCTTCACGCTTTATTTAATTAAATCTGCACTATGTTACTAATAAATACAAGTATTGAAAAATAATATATTTCTTTTTAGCTTCAAAAATATCTCTGATGTTGCTGTCTAATTATTATTATGATTAATATTTGTCCCTTAGGTTCCTAATGGAACATAGGGCTTCAGTACCACGTCTCCAATGAGATCTGTTCTCTGAAATCTTCTGTACCTGGATCCATGACAGACCACAACCTCTCATTTCTTCATCACGAAATCTCCCACATGTCACCATCACCTCAGACACCCAACTCGTCGATTCCCATCTGGGTCCCACTCGAGTGCCTGTCCTGACACGTGATGTCCCAAGTCAGCCTTCTCAGTGTATGCACAATCCATCTTCACTCTCTTCCTTCTGCATATTTGTTAAGTGATAGCTTCTTGCTTCGTTGGTTCGTTGCCAGTCAGCCAACCAGAGTTCCTTGTTGCTTATTCATATTATTCTGGCTTTGCGATCTGAGCTTCAGTAACGAGCCAGTGTAGGCGGCAGTTGTTGATGAATGTGTGTAGTTTGTTGGAGATCCCTTTCGTAACGTGTCAAGTCTCTCAACCATCACATAGATGCACTGACTTGACTGTATTGGTGTTGAAAATGCGGATGTTGTTGCCACTTCATGCTGAGTGCAGTGTCAGTAATCCTGAGTTCAATCCGCAGCCGGGTGGTGGGTGCCTACTGCTGAGGAGTCCTGTACTAGGCCGAAACATCTGTCCAGTGCTCCCACACTTTCAATGGTTCCCCAACTGATATCAGTCCATGATGACTACTACCTATGAATTAAAAAATCCCCATTCATCTCAAAAATACATTACTGTATAGTGCACATTACTGACTTGCTTGCAGATGGATATCAGGAAGCTCTAATGAGAAGCCGTGACCTATGGGGTGAACTAGTCGGAAGTGAAGTGGATGCTAACTGAAGACCTTGGGTGACAGTCGCGCTATGTTGTGAATTGACAGAAGTTAGAATTTGTGAACCACTGGAAACCGACCCAGTGTCTGAATGGTTAACGCGTTCTCCGTGAAACCTGAATGTCCTGATAACTATTTATTGACATACTTGTCATTCTCTGTTGTTTTGTTGGATCGAATTGTTCGACCACTATTGGCATATGGGCTCCTATGTGGATACCTCGATATTGCCTGAATGTTAATTATGATAAATTGGTTGGTTGTGGCTAGCAGAAGAATCCAAGACGTGCATTTCGTCCTATTTGCAGAATAACAAGTATGTCAATAAATAGTAATAACTATCACCCGTTGTACAAGAAGTGGCCATCGTTCCTCTGTGGCATAGTGGATAACGCCCTGGCGTTCCAAGCGACGGGTACGAGGTTAGAGTCCCAGTGGGAACAACATCACTCACTGGGGTGCAGGTACACCTAACTGACCAGTCCCAAATAGGACGAATCGCGCGTCCTGGGTTCTTCTGCTAGCCACAACCAACCAATTGATGAATGTCCTGAGTTCACTGGCTATCCAGGTAGTGGGTGCGTACTGCAGAGGAGTCCCATAATAGGACGAAACAGGTGTTCAGTGCTCTCAGACTTTAATGGTTCCTCAACTGTTGTCAGTCCATGCTGAATACTACTTCCAAATATGTTATCATTAAATCCGATCTATTTAACAGTTGGGACAACTGTAAATAGGTTGATTTGATCTGAAAGAGGAGGATTTCTAGTACACCACATATCCAAATAACACTGGTCAGTCGTTTTAATGTGTAAAATCATTGCGAACTTCATTGATCACCCATTGGCTGAGTTAGTTCATCATTTCAATCAGGAAGTTGTTTAACACGGCCGGTACTAATGTATCAATGTACTCATAAGTTAAATTTGAAAATCTCTTTTATTTTTCTCCAAGTTATTACTTGGGATTATTTTATCAAGCAGGAATGGATAAGGAAAAATTTAGAGGTTATGTTTTTTTGTTCTGCATCACTTATTACTTAGGTGGATATGAAACTATTTAAGTGTATAGCTACAATGACAATTGTGAAGTTAAATTATACAGCTTCAAATGTCTATTGCATACAGACCAATACACCCAAAAGTTACAAAAGGCGGAACTTCTTGCTGGTGGTATTCAGCTTCATGATGTGTAATATCTAGATATTTTTCTCAGCTGCTAATTTCCAATCTTTGTCCATGCAACTAAGTGAATCATGATGATAACAAAATATACCACTGGCTATTCTCTGATAGGTAATCTTATATTAAAGACAATTTATATTATATCGTATTTAAGTCATTGATAAAACTTTTCCCAAATAGTTGGGATTCCTGATAAAAACTTATTTTATTAACTATTCTTACCTTTTTCCTGGATTTCTGTTCAACTTCTGTACTCAGTGGAATGGAAGATGTGCTTGCACTTTCGACATTGGCTTCATAATCATCTAAATCTCTAAAATCGAGAAATTTGATTGGATAGCGTATATTATGGATTAATATAGTTAGTGGGACAGTTGTCCCGATAGATTAAGAGTGAAGTAAACATAAAATGATCATAAAACTCATTTGACACAGGAACCATTATCAATTTCTTAGGATATAGCAAGATTTTTAGACGGAAATGAATAAGATAAACTAGTTTAAATGTAATATAATAAGTGAAAAACTTGGGCACTGTGGTAGAATGTAATTCCATACTAGATTTGTTTATTTGATATAAAGCGCACAGATTAACAGAAAATAGGAATTTAGCTAAACATAGAACGGCAGACCCCAATAAGATCAATAACCTAGAAAAACACTCGGCCATTGCATGATATTCATTAACACACAACCACACAATAGGGTGGGACAAAACCACTGTACTTAAGTCTAATATAGCTAGGTGAAGAGAGAGATTAATTACTGAATCTTTGTTCATCGAATCCACACCCAACACATGTAATAGGAATGACTCAACACCTATACCAGAGATATGGAAAACTTTACTACCAATCAAAAACAAAAAAACAAAGAGAGATCAGGTGACAGGACCATAAAAATCAGATATCGAAAGAAGTGTGATTACATTGATATGATTATGAGCAATAATTTATGCTCGAAACGTAATCAAGTAAATAATACTATATCACTGTGCGCTTTATAGTTTAAATGTATCTGTTGACAAGAAAATGAATGCTAACTTGATATGCGATGCATGCAGACATGTCACAATTATTTAACCTTGTATCTGTCTAACAACAGAATTCAAAGTACATTCATCTAGTGACCTGCTTGAACTTTTCTACCGAACCTATACATCCAATTATTTGCTTTCAGTTTGTTTTAACCATGTAACTTTATCTTCTAAACATGCCATATAGTCTTGTACAGTTTTAAAATGTTTTCACCTAGCCGTTTCTTGAAGAAAAAAAATGTCATATTCGATGGAAATAGGGTTTTTCTTATTCAAAAATTCATTCTATTTCCACTCCACAGGCGCTTAGCTCAAATAGTAAATTCTTGTATTGGCTGAATAAACTATCACCACCAATCTGACGTTCGATTCTCTACATATCCCCAATTCTAGATGAGAAGCTAATTCAACATCAACTGACTATTCGAGATAATTGCCTTTAATATTGTTATCATTAACATCACTCGGATGTAATCGTCATTTCGTTTGAATGTACTGTTCTAGCAGTGAACTTGCTGAGAATTTCATACTGTATAAAAGATACCGTTTAGAATAAAGCGATTATTATTATGATAGCACGAATGAATTCAATGGCTTACATTTACTAACAATTTGACAATAATGTTGGGTCCGAGAGGCAAAAAGAGGTAAAACTTCAAAAACTTGAAATGTAATAATGGAGAATGGATAAGCTATACGTCACGTTCATCTCTGATTAATGTATAACTACTTCTATATGATTTCACAGTTCATGGGTTTGAATTGTGAACGTATATCACTGAGAACTGAAACCCTGTAGTTGCTTTGTGCTTTCCACGCCCAAGCAATAATATGAAGGGGGTAATGAAGGTGTTTCGTATAGACCTTAAATAATCCCTTTCCGCCTTCTAATAATTTGGTGACTTCTTAAAATATCATTTTCATTTGGTGTGGAGTATTTCTCAGTGTCTATGACAACTTTGTTCATTGTAACTGCTAAATTTAATGAAGAATAAGCAAACGTAGCTTTAATAACATTCGAACTTATCAGGTTCCTTCATACAATACGCAGAAATTTTGAGTCACTATAAAAAAAACTAATCAAGTCATCTTCATGACGAGCAGTGGCATTCAGGACGCGCCCTTCGTCCTATTTGGAACTCGTCATCTGAATGTACCTGTACCCTAGTGAGTGGTATTGAGTCCGGTTTCCATTGCTTCAGACGCTAAAGTGCTATCCACTGAATCACTGAAACACAATGACCACCTATTGTGTAACAGGTATCAGTTGTTTCAATGTTGGACCGAAATGCTAGACCTACGTTGGCAGACGGGATTCTGTGCAGATGCTTTAATACTGCCCGGTATTCATGACGTGGTATTCATCAAGGTGAATAGCAGTAAAATCCAATACAGGAGTTTCATACGATTTGGGACTCGTCAGGTGGATGTTGTTCCCACCGACAGCTGAACCCAGTACCTATCGCTTCAAACTCCAAACTGTTGCACACTAAGTCAATGGGCACGTTAGCCACCGTTTGTTCAATCGGTATCAGTTGATGTCATGATACTTGTATTTTCCTACAGAGTCGAACTGCTCGACTTCTGTTGGCAGATATGATCTTTCGCCGCAGTGGCTTAGTGGATAACGCTTTGGTGTTGGAAGCAAGAGGTACTTGGTTCGAATTTCAACTGGAACAACACTTACCAGAGTGCATGTATACTCAGATGATAAGTCCCAAACAGGATAAAATACGCATCCTGGATTTCACTGTGTCATCAAGATGAATACAACATCATGAATATCCAGCAGTATCAAGGCATTCGCGTAAAAGCCCATCTGCCGAAAGAAGTCAAACCAGTTTAGCCCTGCCTAGTAACTAGCTGGCTTCTTTGTGAACATTTCAAAACTAAATAATGATTTCACTTGAACTTAATTCTCGAAAGCATTGTTTCAGGTGAAGTACTATCATAGATAGCATGTTACCCAGTTATGTTTTATATTTTACGTAGAACGACTTTAGGGAACACTTGAACAAATATGTCATCATAGCCAGAACTCCATCTATAGTAGAGTAACCGGGATGAACAGCTAAACGTTAGTCAGAAACTATACTGGTAATTACCTTCCCTTGATAGTATTGAAAAATAACTGATATTTCTCTGAATCAGTGCATTTTACTAAGGGTGATGATTTTGATTTGATTCAGATAGTTAGTCAGTCAAGGTTTGTCATTTACTTGATGAATGAGCTTGTGATGCATACGCTTAGAAAATATTTTGCTAGCTGATTGTTAACCTCCGTTTCAATTTGTTTTAATCTTTTAAACGCGTCAAGAACAATTGAACACTTTAAAAATAGTTTTAAAATGCCATTTTAAACGATGCATCGAGAAGAGATGGGATTATAAATGCACTGAATAACTATGTTGAAATGAAGATTTCTGTATTGGCTGAATAAACTGCCACTATGAAAATACGCTAGATATTTTTTTCACTCACCAGTTCAAACGAGACACTAATGTAATTTATTATTTTTCCCTTTGGTTCCTAGTAAAACATAGAGATTCAGTAGCATGCCTCCATTGCACTCTTTTCCCTGCAGTCTTTTGAACCTGGCTCCATGACTGCCCCCAAACTTTCATTTCTTCCTCATATGATCTCTTCCATGTCACCCTCGTCTCCAGCACCCAACTCGTCGTTTCCCCTTGGATTCCACTCGAGGGTGTGGTCTGGCACGTAGGCCTTCTCAGTGTATACCCAATCCAATCGATCTCGACTTTCTTCTTCTGGATGTTTGTTGGGTGATAGGTTGTTGGTTGGTTGGTTTCCAGATTGAGTTCTTTGTTGCTTATTCTTTCTGGCCATCTGATATTCAGTATGGAGTGAGCGTATGCGGTAGCTGTTGATGAATGTGTGTAGTTTGTTGGAAATGGTTTTCATGATGGGCCAACATTCTGAATCATCAGATAGCAGCACTGACTTGACTGGATTGATGTTGAAAATCTGGATCTTGTTCTTCATGTTGAGTTCAGTGAGGGGAGATCTCCACACTAATTTCAGGTTAATGAAAAAATGCCTGTCTTCCTGTCTTTCCAAACCCGGCTTTGACATTCTCATCTGTGCTGCCACCACCACCCATAATTGAAACGATGCTGCCTAGACAGACAGTTAGGTGAAAAATACTACTCCCTTTACATTTCTCCTGTTGATGGTGATTAGTGCTCGTTGTTGATACTGTTGTTGGTTGGGTATCTTCATCACCTCCTTCTTCTCTACATTCACTTGATGTCGCATCTTCGCTGCCTCGCCACTTCTGTCAACTTGTTAGTTTTTGCCTATAGATCTTCGAGTTTTTGCGACAAGACATAAGACATAAATCATCATAGTTGGCGAAATTGATATATTCTCCTCCTTGGGTATTTTCATCGGTCCATCCAGTGTATGCCCATCTTCGCACAGCTCCTCGCGGTTTGCTGCATGATCCAGTCCAGTTGACTACCATAAGGAAGATCATCGGTGATAGTACGTGGCAGCCTTGTCTTACTCATATCTTCACTTCAAAGGCGTTATGAGCTGAGATTTCCCTTGTGGATCACTTGGCAGGTGGCGTCATCATATAGCTGTTGAATGAGGTTGATGAAGATTTGTGGCGCTCCGTAGTGTTGAAGCAGCTGCCTGACAAATTGCATCTCGGTCGACTCTGTCGGGGGTCTTTTCAAAGTCGATGAAGTTGAGTTGAGTTGGCTGCCATTCTTCACTCTATTCTAATTCAATACCAGGAGTTTATTTCACATTGTGGCTTTTATTACTGCTCGTATTAACATTATGTAAATGCAACGATTTATCCGCCTTAAGATCTGGTCTGGTATAACTCTTGAATATCAATGTTATCAGCAATTAAGAATTCGCTTCCTTCAGAACAAATGGGGTCTGAGCTACCTAATCTGTGTGGATTGCCTAAAATTCATAAAACAAATAATCATTTACGTCCTACACTCTCAATGTTCCGTTCACCTACACATAAAGTGGTGAAATGGTTGGCAAAAACTTTAATTCCTATTCGAAATGAATTATCTAAGTTTTCTTTGAAAGATACTTTTAAACTTGTTGATTAGCTTAGTGATATTTATATCAAAGATGAGGTTGTATTCCTTTGATGTCAACTCCTTATTTACTAATGTACTCCTAGTCAAAATCATTGACATTCTTTATGACTATATATCTTCCAGTAATCCTTCTTTATCTATCTCCTCAACATGTTTCAGAGAGCTGTTATTATTTACTGATAAAGTTCATTTCACATTTGAAGGTGAACATTTTCGTCAAATAGATGGTGTGGCTATTGAAAGTCCCTTAGGACCATTGCTAGCTGATATTTATATGTCACGCATTGAAGGCTTGACCGGAGATCTTATCAGTAAAGTTACTCTCTATAAAAGATATGTTGATGATATAATCATGATATGTGACAAGCATGAAGATGCAACATTTTTGTTAGAAAGACTCAACATCGTACAAAACACCATAAGCCTAACATGTGAAGAAAAGGAAGAAAACTGTTAGCCATTCTTGGATATACTCCTAAGTCGTAGAAATGATGGTTCAATAAAACGGTTGATTTACAGGAAATCAACTTGGATAGGTCAGTACTATAGTTTCCATAGCTTTTGTCCAACCCAATACAAGCGAGGTTTGGTAACTTGCGTATTTAAAAAGGAACCAGGGTATTTGTACTGAAGACTCAATGGATGATGATATCAAAGTACTAACGAAACCATTACTAGTGGAAAATGGATATCCATTGAAGTCCATAAACCGCTGCAAAAATCAGCCAGGATTCAAACCTAATCTGTACTCTGTTTCGAAGAAATGCTTTTACATCGCGTTACCATACAGAGGAGAATCTAACAGCATGATATTAAAACGAAGGTTAAGGTCTGCTGTTAGCGAAATGTACTATGCAGCTAAGTATATCGTAGTTGAGAAGACCAAACACCTGCTGCAACCTAGACATAAACGCTGTATAAACGATTGCGTCACATCCCACTGCGTTTATAAATCTAGATGTGTGTGTGGACAAACATACATAGGGAGGACTAATCATGATATGCACTTGAGGGCAGGAGAACATGTTCCGAAATTGCTACGAAAGCAGCTGGATTCACAAACACCAATACGAGCAGGGGGCAAACAGCCATCATCATTCATTGCGAAACATATCATTGATAAGAGTCACAGGATTGATATTAAAACAGACTTTACAATTTTGTATCAAAACTGTCAGGGGTGTATACTTAAATTTGTTGAGGCGCTAGCCCTAAATAAATTTAACCCCCCATTGTGTGTGCAAAAACAGTTTGTCCTTACATTAAGCCTACCTTGGTAATGCTTATTTTATCGTATTACCAAGACTGCCTTCAAGTCTTATCTTTTTTTCTCCTATCATTATCTTTCTTCCTTATGTCATATTTATCCTTCCCCAACTTCCAGTTTTCATATATAATGCTGCCTTTACAAGTAAATGTGCGATCAGATTGTTTAAAATGTATAACGCTAATACATCATACACTTTTTAGATAATCTACGTCTTCTAATTACATTATCCAAATTCATAAAAGAGACTAATTGTCTTTCAAATAATTGATTGATTAGTTTGAATGTGTCTAGTCTTTCACCTTCTTTGAGAATTACGAGTGAGTCGTTAATTCGTCTGATTGATATTTATATAATTGTATATATTCTATGTTAACTGAACAGGAAAAGTAATAACTAAGCTCAATGTAAGCTCAATGTCCAATACGTCATCACAAACCGTATACTTTGTTTAAACTTATTTAAACAATATGCTAACTAATGCTTGTTCATTTAGACATATGAAAATAAGAAGATAGTTTTAAGTAGATAAACACAGTTGAGTAACGACTTCCATATTCTTGTGCTACACACTGAGTTTCGTTCACATTTGATATTTCTAGTTAAAATTAGTTTTTCATCAGTTTTTCGATGGTTCAGTTACTATGATCTGTTATATAGCCTTGCTAAATTCACTTCTTCTCTAAGATATTGCGTGATGTTTGAGTAAGGTAGATGATTAAGTATTTTAGTTTGTTCAGGAGTTAAATGTCTAAAATACGTTATTTAATTTCATATCTTCCATTTTAGTCTGTTTATTAGAAATATCATACAGTGGAGGAACAGTATCATTTACTGGATAACGTTTCGGACATAATTTATTGTCCATATTCATATCAGGTAACTCCACAACTTCGAGACAGACTTTATATATTCCTAATTTTCTCTCCTTCTCTGTAGTGACAAATCATCATCATTATCAACATAGGACCAGGCATTACTGCGTAACGATCCGAGTTGCCACACCTCATATCAGCTCATCAAATAAAAAGGTAGTGAGGTGAAGGATGGAGATAAGAGAGTGCAGTCAAAAAAAATACAAAGTATGAGAAGAAAGAAAAGAGGGATGACAAAATGGTGAGATTCGGTATAGCATTGTTAAGATGAGGATAATGTGTGTATACATCTGTGCCACTGACTTCGGTTCTCAGCCATATCACCTAGGGTCTCCAACCACTTGTTCCTCTTGTCCCACCGACCCCAACCACCTAGTCTGCATCGTCCTACACGGCTTATACCAACAGTCAGAGATTTCATACATTGGTGCCATGTTTTAGTCTGGCCACCTCGGGCCTTTTTCCAGCCTGAACCCACCTCAGCCAACATTGTGTGACGAGGCAATCGGTGACTAGGCATACGTAGTACGTGTCCCAACCATCTCAGTCGATGAAGGTTCACAACCTCGTCGACTGACTTACCTCTTCTCCCCAAAACTCTACACCTGAGCCTGACTTCTGCATTACTCACGTGGTGCGGTGACACCACGGAATACGTCCTATACTACGAAGGCAACGGTGGTCAAACACCTGAAGCCTTTTTATATCTTCCACTTTCAATGGCCATGTTTCACAGCCATATAGTAGAACAGAGCAGACTGATGTGCAGTACACGCGACCCTTAATGGACAAACGAATATCACGGCGGCACCATAGGTGGCGCAAATTGGCAAAAGCCAACCGAGCCTTTTGTATCCGTGCAGAAATCTCATCGGCAACTAACCCACCAGGGTTGATCCTACTTCCCAGGTAAGTGAAGTGGTCAACACACTCAACCACTTCACTCTCTATTGTTAACCGCGGTACCGCTGAAGACCAGTCCTGGAGCAAAAATTTGCATTTGGGTGGTGAAAATCGCATCCCAAACATTCTCAAATTCCCACTCAAGGTGTTCAGAAGACTCTGCATATCATCAGTCAGCGTCTTCACCTAACAGGACTATGTCATCTGCATGTTCTAGATCTAAAGAAAATTCACCTGTGATTGGGTCAACGTCTGTGTAATTAGGTGACGAGCGGGAAACCTCCATAAGAATATCTATGATAAAACTAAATAAGAATGGGGATAGTGGGCATCCTTGACGGACACCACTTGATGAGTATAGTGACAAAGGTAGTGGGATTTTCCATATATCTGGGACAGGTGCACAATCATCCCTGTTACTGCATGTATTTGATATTGATTCGATAAACAAAGATTCGGTGACCATCAATCTCTCCCTCCACCCGACTGAGTTAGTTGTCAACACTGTCGCCCTACTACTACCCTTGTCATCACATAGTTACCTGATATGAATATGAACAATAAATTGTGTCCGAAACGTTATCCAGTAAATGATATTGTTTCACTGTGTGATATTTCTAATAAACAGACTAAAATGGAATTACAATCAACCACAATGCCCAAGTTTTACTCTTATGTTAATTTCATATCTTCCCATACTGTTCCCATTGAGTATTCAGTAACTAAAAGTCGTCATCTTTTGAAACAATAAAGTCGATAGACAATTGGTGTCAGCCTCTTCAACTGAAACCTGACGAAATATAGTGCTAGTTCGCTTAATCATACTGGGAAGAATGTTCTTTTTACATGTTAATTAACTGGATTCGGGTGACAAAATTCGTCAATTTATGTTAAAATGTTAAACTACTTATATTATTTAGTAGTATATTTCTCAACCTACTCGCATTCTAGTTTCATAAATGGATACCAAATTGATACTATAACCGTATACCTGAGAAACTGTTTAACTATAAGGATTGTCAACTAGGAGTGTGAAATTCACTAATATTTTACACAATATTCATTCTATGGAAAAGTAGTGTGGTTAGCTTTTGTTATAACAATGACAATAATAATTATCATCAGTTATTACTATCAGTATGAAAGTGAGAACTTACCCGAGAACTGGTAAAGGACGTTTCTTTTTAGGACGTTTATTCTCAAGAAGTTTAGAGTTCTTTCCTTGTGTCGTGTTATTCTCAGTGACTCCTTTGACTGAATTTCTATTGTCGGGCTGCAGTTTCTGTTGTATTCGCGCACTAAGCACTTTTTCATGTTCTTCTCTATCCCTCTGATATCTAAAAATCAAATGATTACACTTATAGTAATCATAATTAAAATATTTCTGAAGAGCTGAAGACCATACTGTTTACTACTAGTAAGCAGTATGATACCCGTTAGATCTTCTTTCTTATTTCTGTTCTACGAGTTTTCTGAATATACAGTGTTCAACAGTATGAGTAGTTAGAAATCAATCACACTGGTCTGTAAACTTTTGCCGTTTAGATTAGTATGATCTATGCAAAACATCTTTGTTTCCCCCGTTCAGAGCTGAGCTCATCAGCTGTCCACCTAAAGCAGTTGGACTGACATAGCCTAACTGAACTGCATACATAGGTAGGGATTATATGTGATGACTAAGCAAAGATTATTTATAAACTCCGTTGATACCACAGATAAGTAATTGAAAACCTACTCAACTATGAGAAATATGAAAATGGATTGTGAAGAATTCGTAAATGGATCATCCTATTTAATCTCTAATTGTCTATTCAAGTCAATTAGCTAGATTCAGTTAGTCTGAACAATTCGGTTGTGATAGGTTCGATTTCTAATCAGTTAAACCGCCATTTGATGATTAGAAAAGTCTTATCTGATTGACAAAATCTGCTGAGGTAACCATTTTCTTCCAAACATTTTTAAACGAACTGAATTACTTCAGTCAGTTTCTCTGATAAACAAAGTTTCTTAGCTTTTTGAAATAACTTTTAAACTATTCCGTGCTTATAACTTATAGGACGAAAAACTTACGAAATGAAAGATTATGCAACTTTGTTCACAAAACAAACTGACCGAAGAAACTCAGTTAGTCAAGAAATATTTGAAAGAAAATGATTCCCATAAGGGATTTTTAGATAAAGTCAAAATGAGAACAGTAGAAACAAGTGTACTTGATAATAGGGAACGATAAAACCTGTGTTCCTCCATCTAACTTTCAAACGGGATAACCTTATTAACCAGGTCAATGGAAAAATAAGAACTGCATTCAGAATCACTTTTCTAGCAACTAAATCAGTTTCCGTATAGAAAACAAAAGTCGATAGGTTTCCGCCTCATGTCACTTCGAATTGTATCTACCAATTAACATATACATGTCAGAACACGACCATTGGAAAGATGTAGAGAAGGGTTGAGACTAGATTTCCTGAACACATTTCAAAAAGTTAAGCTCACAGGAATTGAATTACTTTGAAAGGCCCATTACTAAACATCTAGTGGATACAAGACACAATGTCCTAATCTTGAAGGCATCGAAAGTAATTAACTAACAAAAAGATGTTAAGCTACTGAGATTCGCAGAAGCAGTTACCCCCAGAAGAATTAAAACCAAATTCACAATCAATTTCTGTTTCATCTCCATAAAATTACTACTTGATCATGTGTAACTTGACCTTAACCCATGGGAAAACATTTTGATCCTATATTATCATTATTAACTCAATACATGCACCTACCCATTACTTTCCATTCCACTTTGATCACAAATGGCGGGGTGACAAACACAAGGTAACATCAATTTCTGTAATGACAACTTGTTTATTATTATTATTTATCCCTTGGATTCCTAGTGGAACATACGGCTTCAGCAGCAGTCACCATTTCACCTTCTTCTCTGCAATCTTTTCATCCTGGCTCCACGACTGCCCACAAGCTCTCATTTCTTCCTCATACGCTCTCATTCATGTCACCCTCAACTCGGACGCCCAACTGGTCGTTTCCTCTTTGGGTTCCTCTCGACGACCTAGCCTGATGCGTGATATCCCCAAATGGTTTTCTCAGTGTGCGCTCAATCCATCTCCACTTTCTTCTTCTGTATATTTGTTGGGTGATGGATTCTTGGTTGGTTGGTTGGTTGCCAGCCAGAGTTCCTTGTTGCTTATTCTTTCTGGCCATCTGATTTGATCTTCAGTATGGAGTAAGCGTAGATGGCAGCTGTTGGTGAATATCTGTATCCTATTGGAAATGCTTTTCGTAACGCACTAAGTCTCGAAAAGCATTTCCGGTGGTCGAAATCTACTCATCAAGTGTGTTATATGCTCTACAAATCAAATAATTATGATGACCTAATTATCTTCGGGACGGAAGCACTAAATTCTACACGGAATAAGATGGGTTTAATACGTTTAAGTTTACATGGTGATGACCAGCAGCAGAATCCAGTCGCATCTGGGACACGTCAGCAGAATATATCTGCACCCCAAGGAGTGGTGGTGTTCCCCTTGGGACTGGAACTTAGAAAAACAGTTACAAATCGTTATCCACTAGGTAACTGAAGTAACTGAAACATCTCTTGTGAAACCTTTTCCCATTGTTAAACCTGAGCAAATTGCTCGACCTCTGAATATTCAGACAGTATCGAGGTATCTGCATAAAAGCCCATCTGTCAACAGAGATCAAACAATTCAACTCAGTACAGAAATCGGAAATTGTAAGTATCAATAAACAAGATGAGTTCAAATTTACCAGGAAACATATTTTTGGAGGTAGGAAATATAATATGCTGGTTATAATTGACAGCCAGAAAACATAAGTTTTCAGTCCCTCTGAAGTATCTAAAATCCATGTATATACTAAGGCTTCCAAGCTTCCTGCTGATTGCCTCCAACCAACTAACATCTACTTATGTGCACCCCGATGCTGAGCTTCCTAGCTTAGTTGCCAGATTGCGAATATGATCGATAGAATTCGGTCTGCACTCAGGACTAGACTACATGAAATTGGTTGCACTCTCGTGACCAATCAATACACATGTAATTTTCTATTAGAACAGGGCAAAGCAACGTCAGGAGTCCAATGTAGTTTATGAGTCTTTGGGAAATGTGAATTTCTTTCAGAGTTGAGTCAGCCATATCTCTTAAGTCTTCGTTAGATGAACTCTAAGCGTGATCAGTCTTAGAGGGATTTAAGATGCTAGATTTTCTATTTAAAATATAAGATTACTATTATTGACATACTTGTTATTCTCCGTTGTTTTGTTGGATCGAATTTTTTGACCTCTATTGCCATATGGGCTCCTATGCGGATGCCTCTATATTACCTGAAGGTTATTTATGATAATTTGGTTGGTTATGGCTAGCAGAGGAATTAAGGAAGTGCGTTTCGTCTTATTTAGGACTCGTCAGCTGGATATACCTCCACCCCAGTCAGTGGTGTTGTCCCCACTGGGACTCGAACCTCCGACGAATAGCTTCAAACGCCAAAGCGTTAACAGCTATGCCACAGAGGAACAATTGCCACTTCTTGTACAACGGTCGGACAATTCGATCCAACAAAACAACGGAGAATAACAAGTATGTCAATAAATAGTAATACCTATCACCCGTTGTACAAGAAGTGACCATCGTTCCTCCGTGGCAAAGTGGATAACTCCTTAGCGTTTGAAGCGATGGGTAATATGTTAAAGTCCCAGTGGGAACAACATCACTGGGGTGCGGGTACATCCAGCTGATGAGTCCTAAGTAGGACAAAACGCGCGTCCTGGATTCTTCTGCTACCCACAACCATCCAAATTATCAAAATACTAATAATGGATCACGCATTTTTTGAAGATTAGATACCTCATAATGATTCAGCTCTTCATTAGGAAATTGGGAAAGTCGTGTCACAAACTTGTTCATCACCTTTTGTAAACATTCCAATATGTTGGCTTCCTTTTTGAAATTCCAACGAGTTGTTTGAATCTGGCATTCTAGACAAAGTCTTTTATAAGTAAAGTAGAGTATCCTGAACACATACTTATTAAAGTATTATATGAGAAGCTGAGAAGGGATCTTAGCATCTGGAATGCTTGAGATGTGACTGTTATGAAAATGTGTTACTTTTTTGATTAAACAACGCAGCTCAGAGAATACAATACAATCAATTAATTCCACATTAGATTTGTTAATTTAATTTACAACACATGGTGATTTCATGCCACCATAGTTAGTGGTTATGTGTTAATTCATGCATTACAATAGCCTAGTTTCCTTCTAGATTATTGATCCTATTCGGGTCTGTCATTCTATATTTAGGTAAATTCTTATGTTCGGCTATTCTAATTCACCGCAACCGGTTAGTTTAACCTAAGATCTTGACCTGACTCACAATCATCACATGGAATTTTGGCAGAATAGATAATTTTGCTTAGTTGAATCTATCAGATTATCAAGCTGACAAAACTTATCTCTGAGTGAGTTTGTAAGTTTAAATACCACTCCAATACCAGTTTCGTTGACAATCCTACATAAAGTTTCTGATGTACCTTCCTAATATGGTAACACAATAGAGGTTTAGGTCCTTACTTTGACGACTGAACTTTTCTAGCCTTATCATTTAGACATTTAACTAAACAGGTATCTGGACTTCAGGTCATCTCATCCAATGTCAGTTAAGACAGATTGAGTCAAATGTCTTAATGATAAGGCTAGAAAAATTCAGTCGTCAAAGTGAGGACCTAAACAAGAAACTGTAGCACATAAAAGAAGCGTTAATAACACTAATAATTATCCTCCGCAGTTTATTAAGACATTTGTACAAACACACAATAAACGAAATAATAACAGCAAGGCAAGTAGAAGAGAGTTCACAACCTCCATTGTGTTACCATTTGAGGAAGGTACATCAGAAACTTTATGTAGGATTGTCAACGAAACTGGTATTGGAGTGGTATTTAAACTTACAAACTCACTCAGAGATAAGTTTTGTCAGCGTGATAATCTGATAGATTCAACTAAGCAAAATTATCTAATCTGCCAAAATTCCATGTGATGACTGTGAGTCAGGTCAAGATCTTAGGTTAAACTAACCGGTTGCGGTGAATTAGAATAGCCGAACATAGGAATTTAGCTGAATGTAGAATGACAAAACCCACTTAGATCAGCCACACTGCTCATGTCCAATATAATTAGGCGGAGAGACAGAGAGAGACTAATTACTAAGTTTTTGTTCATCGAATTAACCAACACCCAAATCATGTAAGAGAAACGATACAACATCTATACCAGAGATGTGGAAAATTTTACTACCAATAAAAACAAATAGTATTAGATGATATAAAGGGAGCAGATATCGGAAGTAATGTGATTACACACAGATATGATTATGGGCGGTAATAATTTATACTCGAAACTTCATCATAAAGTAAATAACACTGTATCACTGTATGTTATGGATCAAACTGACAACTCTAGTATGGAAATAAATAAATAAATACCCAAGTTATTTGTACATACCTTGTTGAAAATCTTTCCTGCTTATACACATTTCTCATAACATCAAGAAGCAGAAATATTTTCAGATAATGCTTAGGAAACAATTTCACTAGAGCAAAATTGATTACACCTAAATCTTTCTTAATGCCTTCTAATGGATAATGTAATCTAAATTATCACGTATTATTATTATTATGTATTATTTGTCCCTTGAGTTCCTAATGGAACATAGGACTTCAGTAACACGTCTGCAGTGCACTCTGTTCCCTGCAAACGTTTGAACCTGGTTCTACGACATCCCAGAAGCTCTCATTTCTTCCTCGCAAGATCTCCTCCATGTCACCCTCGGACACATAACTCGTCGTTTCCCATTTGGGTTCCACTCAAGTGCCTGGCCTGATCGTGATGTCCTCAATCGGCCTTCTCAGCGTATACCCAATTCATCTTCACTCTCTTCCTTCTGCATATTTGTTGAGCTATAGGTTCTTTGGTTGGTTCGTCACCAGCTAGAGTTCCTTGTTGCTTATTCTTTCTGGCCATCTGATCTTCAAATTATCACGTATGCTGATATTGAATCGTTCCACTGACTGACTATGCGTAGCTTGTAGACAGCTGATGAGAATGTACCGAAGACCATTGAATGTTACAAGAACTGTTGTTATCACACTGACTGAATTTGTACAGACAGTCAGATGTATGATGCTGCACTTCATCTAAACAATATCACTAATACTGGCTATTTCATAGTACCATTTCAGTAATCATAGAAGGAATATAGTTTGAGGTTTGTGGGTATTTCATTTTTTAATTTTTAGGCAGCATTATTCGCGGACTGACATCGGCTGAGGAATTATTGGAAACCTAAGAGAACCTCACGACTATTCCTTCCTAGTATGAGACTCTTTAGTCATACCCCAACACCCCCCCTCCCCGACGGACCGAAATCAGAACCATCACACTTCACGGTGAATGTGCAAAACATCCAGCCACTGGGTCTAAGTCCAACGGTCCACAATCTTCCACCTCTATCACTTTGCGATATAGTGCGACTATCATCCACTAAGGTCTTCATTTGTCATCCACTTCACATCTGACTACTTGATGCCATACTTCACGGGTTCTTATTAAAACTTCAGGATATGTATCTCGAGGCATATTACCAATTAGTAATGTAGTCTGATGTCTATGGGGATCTGTTGGGTCAGCCGGTCGAAAGTGGAGTAAGTAAGGTGAATAGTCGCCCTTCATCGTGCACTGACAGAAGTAATAAACTGTGGACCACTGGAAAGTGGTCTAGTCGCTGAATGGTTAACGCATTCGGCGTGGAGTTTGAAGGCACTGACCTTGACTTCTGGAGAGTTTGTAGGTGCGTGCTACTGAGGAGCTCCATATAAGGGTAACTTCAGTGTGTGGTGCTTCGCAGTTCCCAATGGTTTCTCAACTGATATCATTCCGTGATGTATATTACCTTGATAATGTGAGTGTTATTCACTTGCCAGGACTTCCTGTAGAAACTAAACAATTGTGGGATTTAATTGATACGGAACATACACATATAAAAACATCGATGATAATAACCGTTAAACTTATTATTACATCTCATTGAACTCCCGATTTTGATCCAAAAGTTGACTAACAGCTTCAATTTCGACCACATCATCTTTCTTTATTTTGCGATTCTTAGCTTCATTTATCCTTTCATTTATGATTTCTTGTTGCCTGAATGATTCAGAAGTGAATCGTAAAGCTTGAAGTTTCATTTTCCCCATGAGAATTTCCTACAAAGACATAGTGAAAAGTGAACTATTCTCGTCATATTCTATACTACTGAATAATTTCAAGTAGAACATCGTCAACACTTAAAAAAAGTAGCAGTTCATAGCTTATTGTTGAAATGGAAATATATTGAAAAACTAAAAATTCCGAAGTTTAGATGGGAGGCATAAAAATTAACAATGTTCGTGAAGGTCTGTGATTTGACACCGTTCTGCTTTGGCTCAGTCGTTGGATGCTTCAGCCAGTTTTCTGCTCTAACCAGCTGAGAACTGTAGAAATGTAATGCCTATCATGGCAATAAGCAACAACAAAGTAAAATTACATGATATTTGCTACATTCACTATGGTAATAAAGAAGATATTGATTAGAATGATTTAAAACAGTCTGTCTGGTAGAATTAGGAAATAATGGGCAACTGACTTTCAGCAAATTGGCTGAGAGGCGACGCACTCGGCCCAAAGATTGACAGTTTCATATTCAATCCATCTTGGGTGAAGATTATTGAAGATTCTGAAAACAAGATATGGTAACTGCACTTTCAGGCTTAAAATTACTTCCCAGCTGATTTCAGTCCTCAATGAAAACTGTCTTGGAACTATCAAATCCCCAGAAATCCGATTTTAGTCTATTATTATTATTTATCCTTTGGCTTCCGAGTGGAACATAGGGCTTCAGTAGCACGTCGCCATTTCACTCTCTTCACTGCAGTCCTTCCAACCTGGCTTCACGACAGCCCCTAACCTTTCATTTCTTCCTTACATGATCTCCTTTATGTCACCCTCCCCTCGGACACCCAACTCGTCGTTTCCCATCTGGGTTCCACTCGAGGGTGTGGCCTGGCGCGTGATGTCCCCAGCCGGCCTTCTCAGTGTATGCCCAATCTATCTCCATTTTCTTCTGCATATTTTTAGGGTGATAGGTTCTTGGTTGGTTCGTTGCTAGCCAGAGTTCTTTGTTGTTTATTCTTGTTATTCTGGCCATCCATCTCATCGATCTTCAGTATGGAGTGAGCGTAAGCGGCAGCTGTTGATGTTTCTCTGTACTTTGTTGGAAATGTTTTTCGTGACGCATCAAGTTTCTGAACCATATAGTCTGATTATTTATTTATCCTCAGATTAAGTTTGCTAGACGTAAGTGATTTAAACAGAGGATGATCATTTTAAGTGTTTCTCTCGCTTACTAACTTCATAGTTTACTGAAATGTGTCTACCTAATACACCAAGGTATCTTTTGGTTTTTCTTTATTTTTCCACTCTACTCGTGAGTGCCAGGGGGACAAAACAAACGTACGAATGTGCACAAAAGTGTATCGGATCAAGTTGCAGTCGGAAAATAACAAGTAGATAAGTAAGATTGATATCAAAGTGGACAAAGTTCGTGTTTGGTAGGAGAAGTAAGTTAAAAACGAAGGCTAATGAAAATAATCCATCTTATAATCGCTGATTCTTACTGTCTTGAGAACCCCCTACACCTCCCTACACGACCCAGACAAACAGCTAGGGACTTCATGCTATGGTGCCACGCTTAGGTCTAATCATCTTGAGGTTTCTGCCAACCAAAATCATCTTCAGTTAGCATTGTACATGGGGACAGACAGTGGTTTGGCGTGCACAACAAACTTCCAAGCCACCTCAGTCGATGAAGGTTCACAACCGTATCAACTGACTTGCCTGCCTCGCCTAGTACCCTTCGTTTGACCTCACAATTACTCGGACGGTGATTTCATCACAAGCTAGCAGTGCTATGAAGACACCTATGATCGTAAACTTGCAATCGCTTCACGTCTTCAACTTCCAACAGCCATGCCTAATGCCGCAGATGAGGGCAGAACGGACTAAAGTGAAGCGTAATCGTTATTTAATTGGTAGTCATCTATCCCATCAGTCAGTGCCAGAAATGACGCAGTTTGGTAAATGACAAACACACCTACCCCGTCAAAGTTCAGATTTCTTCAGGTACCAGCTCGTTCAAACTGATGCAGTTCTACAAGTGAATGGAGTATTCAATCCATTTCACCACTTCACTCCTTCAGAAACCGTCACCGAAATAGCATAAAACTGGTACATAATCAAGTCTATAAAAATACTGATAACAGCCTGAAGAAAAAAGATTTCGAATAATGCGATGCTTGAGCACAAATTTTATTCACACCAACTTCATATTGCCATGGATAATATCGGTAATTGACTAGTTTCAACAGGATGTCAAAATGACCTATGACAGACTGATGACAGTTAAGAGGCTGGAAAGTCACTTCAGTGAGCAAAACCCTACCATGGATTCCAATTGGAGTACTGAGATATGTTGGTTAGAATGTGGCGCCAGGACGTCATTTTCGTCGAGGTTGCAGATACACTTCGCTGACGAGTGCTGGCAAGCACAAAACCTAGGTTGAGGGCTTCTTGTCTATTACCTCTATCCAACTAGCACTTGTAGGTAAGGCGTTTTTGTCGAGTTGCATCAGTGGAATCTTAAAGTTGATAAAGTTTCCGTTTAAGCGAACTTATAAGTTGAAAAGCTACTTTTATTCCAGTAGTGTTTAGAATCCCAAGCATGGTTTATAATGTTTCTTCTTTGCATAGTAACAACATCAACGTCTTGAATTCCTTCTCAGTCGTGTTACTTTTTCTCTTTCAGAGTGTTGCTAAGCATTTCTAAATAAAATTCGGAGGGTAGATACTAATATGTACAGATTTTCTTATTTGTTTCATTTCCTAAATTGACTACTGAATTTTCTTTCATATACACATAGGCATTGATACTTTTATATGCGTCTACGTTATGTATTCTGAGTGCTGCAGTGGATATACTCCACATTGAGTATACTCCACTGGTGTCTGAATGACTTGGAAAAACCTAATAAATGGCATTCGATAACAAATGGAAATGATAAAATAAACTCATAAATGTCTTGGTGTGGTTTTCAGGCAAAGATTTTTAAGTTTAGTAACGGGAACTACCAAATTCTTGTCAGATGAATGGAGGTTATCGACAGGAACTCCTGTTTGGCCTAGGTTTAGTGATTTGCTGGCTGTTTACTGACTGCAACCTCCAAGGAAACTATATCTCACCTAAAATTTGAACCCACGCCACAGAGTGCCATAGTCAGATAAGTTATCATTGAGTTATCTAGGCCACAACTAATCGCCTATAGGACTGGATTAGGCACAGTGATTATTCACTGGAGGATAATTAACTTCATGTTATCCAGTCCTTTACGTTAACCAAATTCTGTTGATCTGCCAAATTCATTTTGTGCAACGACAACCTCTCTTAATAAATAAAACATTCCCAAACAGATGGAAAGTTGAGGTTTTCCCCCTGAAACCTACAAGTAATATTCAGTTTCCACATAGATATCATTTATTCACTATAAAAAGCATCTAATCGAGACTTTCCCTTATATTTTGATGTTTCATCTATACTATGTGATAGTTATGTGTTGAGTGATGTCAGTGTAGGACAGTGGTTGGTATAGCGCAGTGTGAGTCATCAATGAGCAAGTGTTTTCATTCCTTACTTGGTTGAATGGTGGTCACCTTATACTGTGGTTTGACAGAAGTATGAAACACTTGATGAACCATTTGATTTCAATTTAATAGTTGGATGGAAATGTGTTCGCTGCGAGACCTGATGGTCTTCAGTTCGACTGGTAAGTGGTTGCAAACTAGAACGAAACAGCACTGCAAGGTTCTCAGGTTTCAATGATTCCTTAACATGTAGTGGAAAGTACTTTGAAAACAATCATTTCATACAAATCCCTATCTGCAGAAAATGTTTGTTCGTTAACTTTTGTCAAGAATACTCTGACTAACTGAGAGATTCCAGCCCTACCCGTATCTCAGTATACTTACTCATAGGTTATTCAAATGTACAACATTTTTGTATTTTATACGAGAACATTTACCAGCTTGATATAGAAAAGGTGAAATAAAAGTGTTAAAACGTTCTGTCATAGCTCAACTAATAAACATAGGGCACTACAAAGATGCTAATAAACCTGTTAATGTCATATATCGTGTGCCAAAAACAAAACCACGTGTAGCTTTTTATCGCCTTATACTTCCTGAGTCGTCAGCCCACCGTTTGCTCTTTCTCTTTTCTCTTCCAGTTTCTTATGGCCACCACTAAACTCATACTGCTCTACACGCCCTCTGCAACAAATTACCTTCCTGTCTACCTACCTATAGGTTAGACGAAAATGTATCAACAGCTGGTTGTTACAGTCTGTCACAAATAGACTGATCAAACCCGAACTTTGTATTCAGAAAAAAGATATTGAAGCGTTATTCCTCTTTTAGCCTTCAATAAACTAAAGGCTACTTCTATCTTCTTTATTCTTTGTCTTTTCGTTTACTTTTATATGATTAATCCGTTTACATATGTTATCTTAATAGTGACATATTTAAAAACAAAACTCGATTTCTTAACAGTCCTAAAGTTTTACTCCATCTAACTTGACTTGTTATTGCATTGTACAAATACATCTTATAATTGTAGAACCTTATGAGAATACATTGAAAGGAATATTCTCTATTCAGATTGTTGTTTGTTTGTTTTTACTAAACTTATTAGGCTACAGATTTGAAAATTGTCTAGGTCATAAAAATGTAAATAAAAATTATTGTTCAATAAATTATTTAAACAAACAACCTGTTCCCTTTTAGCCGCTTCACCTAAATCACCAAATAATCTTTCTTTTAAATATGATCTTGCTTTTCTATCATGTTCATATTCTGGTAGTTCAGGTATTGAATTTGATTGAACAGCAGCAAGTTTCTTTGAATCTTTTAATGATGTGCTAAATTGACAACAACAAAAAATTGAACATTGAACTACCATAATGAAAATTTCTATCAAAATGTATAAATTATATTACTAGATACTATAGATGGATAAATTGAACTGGAAATCCGTTATCTATTCACATTTCATTTAAATAACCGTACAGAATAACGTCCTTGACTTTAGATAAACAACAGTGTCATTTAAAAATGAATACAAATTCATAAAAATAATATTGATAGAGTTTGATACTTCACATAGCTATTACCATTTTGGTGTTTCAGAGCCAAACTACTTCTATGGTGAATAATTAAGTGTCCAATAAGTTATTTGTTTAAGTAATTGAAATATCATTACTTAACATTTGTAATATAATTAATAGTTACACTACACTTGATCGTATTCTAGGTAAAGAAACCCTGTTTGTTTGGAAATAAATCATTGATTCGATAGATTTTATGATGACTAAAAATTGATGAAAGGATTACCCTTTTATCTACTTTGTTGTATTTCATCAGAATACTTATGTTATTCATTTTCTAAGTTAACTGATTTATGCATAACTGTTAACTTGAACGATAAATCTCTTCAACTACTGCCAGTTTATTAATAAAGGATGAAGTAGTGGAATGTATCGACCACTTCAATTACTTGAGGAGCTGCATCCCCTCCGAACTGACTAGTTGTTGACGAAATCTCACCTGGGATACAGCAAGTTCCTTTGGCATTTACCACTTTGCGTTGCATGGACGAGATATCTGACTATCTATCAAACGACCAGTATACTGCGCTACAGTCCGTTCTGTCTTGTTATGCAGCTATGAGACATGGCAGTGTAAAGTGGGAGATATGAAGCGGTCACAGGGTTTTGATCACAGGTATCTTTATACCATTGATCGCATTTGATGGAATCACCGTGTGAGCAATGCTGAAGTCAGGGGAAGAGTACTAAGGCATGACAGGCAAGTCAATTGACAATGTTGTGAACGTTAGTCGACTGAGATGGCTTGGACACATACTGAACATGCCAATCCACCGCCTACCTAAACATGCTATACTAGTTGAAGTTGGATTAGGTTGAAAAAAAGTGTTGAGGGTGTCCAGACCAAGACGTAGTACCAGTCTATGAAGTCCCCTACTGTTGATCTGACTCGTATGGTTAGATGTAGACTAGCTGGTTGGGATCTCTCAGATCAAAGGAATCAATAGTTGAGGACTCTTGATGGTACAAATGTATTCACTTTTTGGCTTCTTATGAAGCCTGAATATCCAAACTATCTGTTATCTTCAAACTGTTTATTCCGTTGTACAACTTTTTCTGCCTTGTACCTTGCTTTTTTTCTATCCACATGTTCTTTGTAAACTACGGGGATGTGTGTTAACCTAAACCAATAAACTTGTGAGCGGGTTTCTAAGTTGATTTATCTATCTGTCTATATGTTTGTCTGTTTATCACCATGAATTGATATCAGCCTAACTAGTGCTGTAAATTACATAAATTACCTGTTTCAAATTCCAATTGGAAGTTCCAATCTATGGATGTAATGAATTAGGAACGACAAAACTGGTACAGCTAACTATACTCATCGTTATCTACTTAAACTGTACAATCGAATTTTAGTTCAATTTGGAGGTTCATGGGATTTATTTATTGACATCTGGTGGGCATCCATAATGGGCGGAGATCAGTTGCGACCTTGTGGACACTGGACAGGTGTTTCGTCGAATTATGGGTTTCTTCAACATTGTGCATCCACAGACCTACCCGGGGCCTACCCAGAACTTCCAGGTTCCACTGAGGAACCCGGTGATGCCTATTCTCCCACTTTTGCCAAGTCACAATATAACGATACCTTGATCCAGTGCCGTCTGTGAGTAATTGTCCTCATACCACATTTAGTTTCCACCACCAGTCACGACTTCCTATCAGAACTTCGGGAATCCTATCTCGAAGCAAGGTACTTATGATTGGATGGAGGTCGTTCTGTATCACTCACTGAAAAAAACTAGGAAATTGTGGGCAACTGAATTCTGACCCAGTAGCTCAATGGTAAAGTGCTCATCACAAAAATTGAAGATCCTGGGTCCGATTCGTAATGGGGTCATGAATGTGAACAGTCGATTGTATTTATAGTCACTGGAAACGAATAAGAACCTATTATAAAGCAATCGGTTCATGTGACAACTATAATGTTGCAGATTAGAATGAAAATATTATTTTGATAGATGGAAGAAGACTACTGGTTTGACCATGGTAGGGCTAATGAGTACACGTAATGTTTTTGAACACAAAGATGAGGTTTGAACCTGTGAATTATCAATGAGTTGGGCATGTGTTTACGTGAGGTATTCGGGATCCTGTAGAATTGTTGAGAGACACTCTGTAAATTAATTTGAAACAACTACTGGTAGAATGTCCGGAGATGATGAGGTGTTCAAGAATAAGATTACTGTTATTCCGGCTCTCTCTGAATATTCAAGCTAAACAATGAATAAAAGTACGCTGGCACTGTGTACGGTTATTTACGTTAGTTACTCCACAGGGACAAGTAAACTGATAGATTCACATTTAGGTAGCTACTGGTAGCATTCTGTCCTTAGCACATTTATGAATTAACTGTCTACTAGAGAATGTATTTCTCAGGCTACCTGTATAAGCATTATCCTAATCACATGATGTTATTGACTAATAATAAGCCTGAAGGCCACTGGTTCGAATCCTTCTGTCACCAAGATTTTCATTTCACCTTTAATCATGAATATAAAACTGTCTAACTAAGGTTATCTCAGATAACCAAGTTAGTAGTCAATAGGATATTTTCCTCTCTAATTCAAGTAGACTTTGATTAAGATGAAAAATCCTGACTGTGAATACGATCAAGCGATAGAAATGTGCCACAGATTCACATGGCAGTCAGCCCAAAACCTTAAGTGTCTGAAGTCAAGTTAAAATCTGGTAAGCAGCTGGCCGATAACTTGGAGGCTACGGTAAAGATTTTCTTTTCACCTTCCATCATCACCCAATAGTTCTTATAATTACTTTTACACAGCTTTGGTAAATGAAATCGTAGGAAAGAGAATCTGTATCTGTGCTCTGTAATATTCTGTTTAACTGAAAAACACTAAAACGTTGAAAAAAGCGACTTAATTATTGGTAAGTTCAGTGTACTGTTCTCATTTAAAAATAAACTAAATGTATTGATATAGTATTCTAACCAAATTATGGTAAGATACTAAGAGCGTCGTTAATTGTCTGGAGAGAGTCTGGATCATTTAAAATTGATTATATGAGGTCATTAGTGTTAAGCAAAGTAGTTCTACTGAAAATTCAAACAAGTTCTACTAACTATACATTGCTGATAGGTAAAAATGGAAGCAGATTACTGTGAAATTCATTCATCTAAAAATATTGATTATTTATATCATAATGGTTTAATGTTCCTTTATTCGCAAACGAGTCAATGAAACCTCATAGCAAAGAGATAGAGTGGCTGAATAGAACAGCTTCATGAAGTACAAAGTTATTAGAAACTAATCTTATGATTTTGTGCTGAATGGCAGTAAAAGATTTTATGAGAATAATACTTCTACGAAATCTAATCCGATGGGTGTGTGTCTGTGTTTAACTGTTTGCATGCATCTCATTTGATACATGTAATCTCCTTTTACTATACTGTGTCAAATAGGCTCTTATCCAGTTGCCTCGATACTGTCCAATGATCCACTATTTTGTTATCTACTTGATATCTAGCAGTGAAATTCAGGATATACGTTTTGTCCCATTTAAGATTTGTCAATTGAACATAGCTGAACTACAATGAGTGATATTGTTTCTACTAAGACTTGAATTCAGTACTCACTGTTTCACACGTTAAGGCATTATCCTCTAGGTCAGTGAAGCACGAAAATCACCTCTTTTTGCAACAAGTAATAGTTGTTGTTGATACTTGTAATTTCTTGTTGCTATATACTTGTACGAATTGCCTGACCATTGTTGGGAGATAGGCCCCTATGCGGACGTATTTGTTAGCATATGAACTACCGGAAATATCTTATTCTAGAACTTTCTAAAAAAAGTCGATTAATTTGGATACCAATTTTTATTTCTGTTCCTATTGGTTAAAACAGTTCTGCACTCATCAGCAAATTCACCGCGGGCGTTCAAAGTCCTTGTTCGCAAACTGACGTATCTGAAGTATCATTGAGTGCATATGCGGCAGTAGAACCCGTCAAGATAACGAGTACGGTGAGTAACTGGAACAATAGTCATTACATATGGTACACATTGCATTAACACAGTCATTTGCAAATGTGCTTCTTTTCTCTTCCGTTCCTCTCTTGATTTGCTCTTCATCTGCTCTTCATAAACTCATATCATATCCACTGTAGTACGCTGCGTTATCCTTTGCGTTGCTCTTGGCAGAAACCTTACCGATTTCCGGTAATTCCCTATGATTCCTGCCAACCTCTCGATATATACTACTTATATCCATTGTTATCAGCAACGCCCACTACAGTAGTAGTTTGATTGGTGATGGTAGAGTTAGTAGTAGTGTGAGTAGAATTAGTTTTGTTAGTAGTAGTAATTTTGATAGTAGCCAAAGTAGTTGTTATCACTGTAGAAGTAGCCGTAGTATTATTAGTAATATTATTAGTGGTATTAGTGTGAGTAATATTGGTATTGGTTGTAGTGTCAGTAATAGAACTGTAAGTACCAGTGGGTATCAAATTACTTATTATGTGGGATATTCAACTTAACTATGTAAAACAACATCTTTGCTTTAGAAATATACTCTAAGTAGCCACAGAACTGTATGTTAATTGTACCTTCTGTATCGTTCAAACAAACATTGTCTACCTAAGGATTTCAAGTACGCTAGAAATTACTACCATTAAGAATTCCAGTAATTTAGATCAATAAGCGAATCAATAAACAAATTTAATATGTTGGTACTTATCATAGACTGACATCAGTTGGAGAAACATTGGAAACTTGGGAGTACTGAACAGCTGTTTAGATATAGTATGGGACTCCTCAGGAGTGCTCACTCATGACCCCACCCCACCAAGTACCGAAACCAGGGCATTCGCCTTCCGCAGCCAGCACGTTAGCAGTGAGCTACCGGGTGAGAATCCAGTAACCCATATTTCCTACTTCTGTTAGTTCACGATATAGCCTGACCTATATTCAATGTCTTCATTGAGTAACTGTCCTCATGTCCGACTTGGTTGACTTATATGGTCAAAACTTCTCACTGGAACTTCAGGAATCACCTGTCGAAGCTAGTCACCACTGAACGTTAAATCAATTCTATCTGAAGGTATGTAGACGGTTATCAGCTGATATCAGTCCATGATGAATTTCAATCTAAAATTAGTTAATAAACCTTTAAAAACTTCCAGTTAGAAATTTTTAATGTTTTTTTTACTATTCTCTTGCATCACAGAAGTAAACACAACCTCTTATTTTTTTTTGAGGGGGTTGTGGGGATTTGGAAATATTTCAAGTTGTTATTCATCGATGACATTGGGTGGCGGTTGCGCTATATATCGTGAGCTAACAGAAGTTGGAAATATGGAGCATTGTATTCTGATCCAGTGGCTCAATGGTAACGCGCTAGCCGCGGGACCTGAAGGTCGCGGGTTCGATCCTTGCTGGTGGGGTCATGGGTGCGCACTGCTGAGGAGTCCCATACTAGGACGAAACAGCTGTCCAGTGCTCCCAGGTTTCCTTTGTTCCTCCAACTGATGTCAGTCTTCGATGAATAACAACTTGAGACAACCTCTTATTGACAAATATTAGATTAATATGTGTGTCATTTATGATACATTAAGACTTACACAGCCTTGGCAAACTTCCTTGATTTCTTTATATCAGGTACATTTTTCTCACTACGACCAGATTTTACTTGTCTGTAATATCAAGACAAAGAATTCATGAATATGTCATGCAATAGCCAGTATAAAGCCAGAAGAAATTACCAGAATAATCAGTAACACAAGAAAGTGGCTTGGCTTTATAACATGCTTTATTATTTAAAGATTCTAACCTCAGTCACAAAATGAAATTAATCAGTTTTCCTGAACTTGTAAACATTTTCATAGTGTTCAATGAAATACTTTTCATCTACGGGTATAATATTTTTGACATTTTAATTAACTGATATTTCAGGTTTTGTATATTTCATCGTTTTGTGTTTGATTGACTGAAAAACGTTGTTTCTACAGGAACTCGGACTCGGGAGAGATCGCTTCAAACACTAGGTCGTTATCCAGTATACCACTGAGCCACGACTACCACTTTTTATGCGACAGGTATAGTTTTACTGTTATTGCTTGTATAACACCGTCGTTCATTGGACCTAATTGATCAGTCTCTCTTGGTATATGGGCTCCTGTGCGGATGTCTCGATATTGCCTGTGTTTTAATTATGTATAGTAATGATGGGTAGTGGCTGGCAGTGGAATCTCGAGTCCAAATCCCAGTGGGAATAACATCACTCACTGGTAGGCAGGTATATCCAGCTGACTAGTCCCAAATAGGACGAAATGGGCATCCTGGATTCCAGTGCTAGCCACTACCAATCATTAATATATATAATCAAAACACAGGCAATATCGAGGCGTCTGCACAGGAGCGCATATGCCAACAGAGACTGATCAATTCGGTCCACTCGACGACGGTGTAATATAAGCAGTTACACTAATATAAGTCATTTGCCATTTATTTTCAATTATATGGCTCATATAGCTCCGAAAATCTGCCTCTACATTGAGTGCTGCATTCCATGCCTTCCATTATTTGTCAGACAGGCAGGCATCTCACAGACAGTAGATTGATACATGTATGTATATGTAGACTGATACAAGCTGCTTGATAATGAAAGAAAACGACTGTTTGATTGATCAAAAAATGAATGCTTATCTATCCATCTCCCTTCAGCCCTACTGGATTCAGAGTCTTTCAACTCAATTAAAGTAGTAAAAATCAAGGAATAGCCCTCGCATTGATATTTCTTTCCATAGACAATAAGAATAACACTGATGAAGAAAAGCTTTTAAATGGATAAAAAATCAGTAGGAAATAGTCAACATATATGAAGTATTATTATTTAGTTGTCCCTTGGGTTCCATTTCACTCTGTTCTCTATAGTCTTTTTGACCTGGTTCCACAACTGCCCAGAAGCTTTTATTTCTTCCTCATACGATCTCCTCCATGTCACCCTCGAACGCTCAACTCGTCGTTTCCCCTTTAAGTCCCACGGCTCGACGGCTTGGCCTTGCGCGATATGTCCCCAAACGATCTTCTCAGTCTATATCCAATCAGATCCATTTCCACTTTCTATCTCTGATTGGTTCGTTACCAGCCAGAGTTCCTTGTTGCATATTCCTTCTGGTCATCTGATCTTCAGAATAGAGTGAGCGTAGGTCGCAGCTGTTAATGTATGTCTGCAGTTTGTTGAATATACTGTGCGTAACACGCCAACTTTCTGAACCATATAGAAACACTGACTTGACTGGTATTAGTGTGGAAAGTCCGGATGTTGTTCACGCTTTATGCTGAGTGCAGTAGATCTCCACACTGATTTCAGATTTATGAAGGCCCATCTTGCTGTCTTCCCGATCCTACCTTTGACATCCTCATCTGTGCCGCAGACTGTAATTGAAATGATGCTGCCTAGGTAGGTAGGTGAAAGACACTGCTTCGTTTAAGTTTCTCCTGTTCATGCTACCTGTTGTTGTCGTTGGTGTCTTCTTCTTCACCTGTCTTCTCTACGTTTGCCTGAAGGAAATCCGGTCTTTGCCACTCACCTCGCCTCTTCTACCAACTTGTTGGTTTTTGCCTGTAGATCTTAGAGTTTGTGCCACAAGACACTAGACATAAGTCATCATCGGTGAAATCTAAATCTTCTACAGTCTTTTCATCAGTCCAACTAGAGTATACCCATCTTCTCGCTCCTCATAGTTTCCTGCATGATCCAGTCCAGTTGACTACCATCAAGAAGATCATCGGTGATAGTAGGCGACAACCCTGTCTTACTCCTGTCCTCTGTCTTCACTTCAAAGGCATCACTGAGTTTTCGGTTGTGAATCATTTGGCATGTGGCGTCTTCATATAGCTGTTGAATGAGGATGATAAAGGTTTGTGTTGCTCCGTAGTGGTGAAGCAGCTGCCTGCCAAATTACTTCTCGGTCGACGTCATCAAAGGTTTTTTCAAAGTATGGATTAGAAAATCAATAAGGAGTACTTAGCTACCGAAGCACAATTCAAACTGTGGAAGAAATGAGAATATCAATGAATAAGGCTAGTTAACTAGCAATCGAATCCTTCTTTGCTTAACATAAACGTGTTCATGTATGTTTCTTCAATGGTAAAGCGTCTTTCTGAAATGATGATTTACAGCCAGTGAAGCGAAATTATGTGAATACAGTGAAATAATATTAAACACGTCATGAAAGTCGGTGAAGTGAACCATTGGAACAGTACTAACATTTAAGGTCAGAAATGAATAACATTTGAAGTAAATGGATCATACAGAAAGAGAGAGAGAAATGCCGGGGAAAGAAAAGAGTGAAAGGCTGTCAAAGTATGCGTATACATCCTCATTGTCCAATAAAATCACCTTAACCTTTGGAAGGTCAGGATAAAGAAAGTGGTTGCATATATTCTTTTTGAATATATGTGGATGACATCGACTGGCACCTTTCATCAAACTATATAGAAGAAGAAGCTGAGTTCGCCTGACTATATGTGCGCTACCAACTATATGAAATAAGATACCATTATTCATGGAATTATTCACTCGGTTTCCCACTCAAGTCCATATGTATTGGGAGGCGCGTGTGTGAATAAAACCGTTCGAGTATGGTCAATGTAACTCGTCCCATAGGATAAGTCAAACTGATATACTGCCATCACTAAAAATTCATCCTTGATTCCCTGTGTCAATGACAATTTGGGCGACATAGTATGACTGCAGTGAACATCTTTTGAACAGTTCGGTTCAACTGGCTTGCCAGAATATCACAGACTATGTCACCTTCGAAGTTCTTCCTTATAGCCAAAGTCTTCTTATTGACAATATCTATCTCTATTTTCTCTGTGGGCCTAAGTGTGTAATAACCTGGGGATTTTTCTGGATAATCACCTATTTCCCTCCATTTCTCAGCTTTTCATTTAAAATACCTATGGGACCTGAGGATGGAAGTGGTCATAGTAACTATTCATTAAAATATTACTTGATTTGACAACTTGGTGGAGATTTTTAAACTAGTCAACAAAAAAACGTTCGGTATACTCCTAAATCAGCAATTTTGCATCACTCAACTGCGCTTCATAAATAGTTCCCATATCGGTCCGATTTGACTGTTTGGACAGTCAAAACGCCCTGCATGTCTGCCAAACTGATTTCGTCTTTTTGTAAATTTACCTGTTCTGTTGGATAACTAAGTTCAAAACAGCAGGAAGAATGAGTGTCCGGTTGACAGGAGCCAGAATACAATTTACACTAGATGTCAGTTTACATTAGTTTGTCATTTTAAAGCAATTAACGTCTAGTTGTCTTATTCAAAGTCTTTTTCCGTATTACCAATAAATTGCTTGATTCCCCCGACCGATAGCTGATACCTTGGTATGGTGGTCAGGCTTGCACATGACGATGGGTCAACGATCTATTCCAGTGGAACGCTTCTTCTCTTGATGTCTTACCATGCCAGAAAGGTCAACTGGATAGATGCCAAGCAAGAAGCAGTTAACGTTATTGCGCAAATCACTTCACTATGATAAGGGTCCGACAGAGAAATTGTAGTACTGGTTAGATAGGGGTGTGAGAGCGGTAAGGTGTTGTCTATGGATGATTACCAGTACCACACTGAGGCTACCTACCCTTACGGTAAGGGAAGGTTAATAAAGGCCGACCCTAAAGATAGCACACTTCCCTATGCCCTGCAAAGTACCGGCGTCCGTAGAATGATTTCAAAGTCAGACTTGAGAAAAATAAACTCAATTCTCAAAAGACTCGTATAAAGGCCATATGTGTTCAGTTTCAAATCAATGTTCCCTTGGTCTTTGTTTTCACTCACTAACCCTTCATCTTCAGATACCTTAAGAAGAAATAGACTTCCACGGTGTGGGCAGCTGGAAAGTGTCAAATATCCCCACAACTCTGTCAGCGCCCACGTTACCTGCTTAGTTCGACATTAAATTTTCCTTTATCTGAAGCTATGAATGATTTAGGGTGATCATCTGGAAGTTTTGCTGATCTACATTTCAGTTTCTCTTTTTTTGTTCTGTGAGTCATATTTATCAGCTAATATAATCCATGGATATTAAAATTTGCTGAACTGGACTGTAAAAAGTCTAAATACCGTGAGGTTAACACAGAAGTGACAGAGTGGGGGAAGAAAGTTCTTGGATCCAACCTCCTTTAGCACTAATATACTCATACATCTACCAATCACATTCTAATTTGATCAAGGCGAGAATAAAGAGATTTGCGAAATGCAAATAACGTCATTCAACTCCACTCATGCTCATCAGCTGTACACAAAAATCGGAAACTGAGATACAAAAGGCATTAAGTGAGCTGAAAGAGAGAACAGAGGTTCCGGAATTGGGCAATAACAGTAAGAGAGTGATTCCCAGAGCAATAGAAAAAAAAGATCGTTACAACCTATTCGTGATCAGACCAGTAATTGTAGATTTTTAAGAAAAAGATATGTGGTCAACCGAATAAGAATTTAAAGGAAGAAAGTGGCTAAACACTTGAAGAATCATATAAGAACGAAAAAATTCCCATATTTTTTCATAAAACAGAGACGTAATAGGGGAAAAGATCTTCTTTGTGACGATTTCATCTACTACCGCTCTGCAGTCGTACACGCAAGTGTTGGAAACGAATAACACTCTATTACTGATCAATGGGATCATACGAACACCGTAAGGCTGACCAGTACAGGTGATGTTTTTGAATACAAAGATTAAGTCCCAAGTTGTAACTTGCCAATGATTCGGCTATGTGAAGATCATGCAGTTGAAAGAGTTTAGAATTGTAAATAGACAGCCTGAATCACATAGGAATAGGATGAATTAGAAAGCATAAAACAAAGCTGCACTCTTTTCGAGTACCTATGTCATTCCCAAGATCTTTATTTAGCTACTTTTCGCCTTTAAATCGCTATGTATTTGACTCGATACTTTTACGGTACAACTAAGCCTTCTGCAACTCGTCCAGAAATACCACCAACAGACCAGTCACACAACAATCAGTGAACACAAGCCCTCCGACAAAAATACAAGTCCCAAACGCCAAAAAGCTGCTGAAAGCCTGGAAAGCAGCAGGACTAGATAAAATTCCTTCAGGAGCACTGAAAAACAGATGCAGAAATATCAGTGGACATGCTCATACCACTATTGCAGAAGGTTTGGAAGGAAGGAAAACTGCCTACCGATTGGAAGAAGAAATATCTTGTCAAACGCTCAAAGGATGGCAACCTAAGTCTTTGCAAGAACAAGAACTGGTGCAGAATCATACTCCTGTCCACTCCAAGCCAAATATTAAGCCACATCATTCTGAGGAAATATAAAAATGTTCCGAATTCAAAATTACAACTGGAATAGGCTGGCTTCGGCTACTTGTTAGTTAGTTGCACGGAGTTAGACTGTTTGCCAGAGAAATCTAAATTGTGAATGAATGTCTTGCTCATAGAAGTAAGTAGAACTGAGGAATACAACGTAAACCGGACTGAGCAAGTTTAAGGATCACTGATAGGGTCATGGGTGTGCACTGACAAGGAGTCCCATACTATGATGAAACAGCTGTCTAATGCTCTCAGGCTTCCAATGTTCCTCCAAATGATGTCAGTCCATGATGAATAGCAACTTGAACAAATAGGCCTGCACTTGGACGAATCACAAAACTGCTGGAAGCGATACTTACAGTGGATATAGGATAGATAACAAGAATACATTCTACCAGTTACAGCAAAATGAAGAGCATTGGGAACTAAAATATAAACAGTTGCTTTAGAGTCGTATGTACGGTTATTTCTAATAGGTTACCTTATCAAGTTTTTATTTGCAGAAAGCGCTTTGTTCACCTGACAACTGCAGTACTCCTCTGGGGGATATGATATAGTCTCATATAGGTGAGTAGAAATGCAGACAATGGCACAGTTTCAAAAACTGTAAATCTATTGAAAATCTAGATATCTTTAATGCCCTTATAAATTGTAAAAACGAAGTACCACTTTGCCGAATAATTATGTTGTCCTTCATATGCTCATTTCTGATTGGTCAGTTAATACTTGAATGTTATTGGTTGTCACTAGAGTTTAATTATACTGCTTTTTCTTTACAAACCTAGAACTATAGATCTGACCATTTGTAAACTATCATTTATCTTGATCAAGACGCGTAAAGCCTGCTACACAGACGTCTCTTCGAACCACAGTCTCGCTGTGATTGCCGAATTCATTACGATGTGGGTTGGCCGATGGTGGTTAGCAGCTGCATCCAGGACAGGTTTCGTCCCATTCTCAGCTCATCAGCTGGATCTCCCTGCATTCCAGTCAGTGAAGGAGGTTCAATTGGGTCTCGAACAAAGCACCGACAGTTTCAGACACAATAGCGTTAACCACCACCAAGTGAATAACATCAAAGGTAAAGGAGGGATTTAGGACAAAATATAATTTTGTTTTACCATAAGGTTATATACGGTTGATGAATATCTGCTGAGTTGAATGACTTCCTTATAGGGAGTTTCTCAACAATACAAGCAGTAAAGTTTTGTTCCATGTTAAGTGCAGGAAAGTAGGAAATGGGTGCGGATTTCTATGATGAGGCAAAGAACACACAATCAACAATTTTTCAACATAAATAGAGTATCACGGGACAACTGAAGACACTCCAACGAGATCGAAAACTGAGGAAGATACTAATATCCTCAGACGTTAAATGACGAACATGACTGTAGATAACTTCAGAAAGAAAAAAATTATACTACTCCTCAATAATAAGTAGTACAAATCTTGGTACAGAAAATGGCAGAGGTGTAAACTCGTGACTGACGGAAAATATAGCACAGAGAGAAAATAATTGACAAAATCATTTGATAACGTTTCTCATTATGAATCAACATAGCTTCATGGATGAACAATTAGGCTAAAGTGATCCTTCTTTAAGGTAAGGCAATGCTAGACGATGATAGCGGAGAGAAAATACGGTTTGAAGCTTTTCATCAGCAATCGGCAGCAAAAGACTAGCAGTTTTAGTTTATATTGAACTATGGCTAACCTTCTCCGGTATCAGTGGTTGTCTATTGGTGCTCGCTCTTTTCATTATATGCTTAGCTCACCATTATGAACAATAGGGGCAGATATTTATTGAAGTATAGTGAGCCTGAGTTATTTACAATAATATTAGATTCAAGATACTGAATCCAATTTCTAAATCTGAAAGATACGAAAAGCAACTTAGAATTGCTTAGTTTTAGTAAGTCAACGCCTTTAAGTTGTTCTTTTCAAGTGTTCATGAAAGCTATGAAATCTTAAACTCATCATATTACCTTTTATCACTGGTTACATCCTTCTTTTCGGCACTTTTAACACGTTGTTCACCAGAACCATCTGTAGTTTCTGTCTTCTTTATACTGCTCATAAAGATTTGAGCAATGCTAGCCAGTTTTTGACCAATTTTTGTTGTCAAATCAAATGGTAAAACGTTTTCTGTAGAACAATGAAGGAAAAAAGTATCAACGAAAATAGATTCATGTAGAAATGATCCAATTATTCTAATGCAGCGCATTTCTCATCAAGTAGTCACATGTAGAGCAGTTTAAGTATTCAACACTAATGTCTTAAAAATGAAAACTACTGACACTTTATGATCTGTTATAAAGAAGCTATATGACATTTTTGGCATGAAGTATTAAAAGATCTGAAATTCATTTTAATCATACTTTTATATCTTCAATGCTTTTCCACTTGCTAGGGATATCACTGGATAAACAGTTTTTCTAAGTGCCAGTATGTTTTTGCATTTTAGTTCTAAACTGTAATAATTAGCCACAACTATTTTGTTTAGGCGTGATGCTTTTGAAGAGAAGAAAGGAGTAAAACAAGGCTGCCTACTATCACCCATGATAGTCCTGATTGTAGTGGACTGGATCATGCAACAGACCATGAGGAGCGAGAAGAGAAGGATACGCTGGACCGCAGGAAAGATGCTAGAAGATGTGGATTTCGCCGATAACTTGTGTCTAATATCACACAAACTTGAAGATCTACAGGCGAAAACTAACAAGTTGACAGAAGAGGTAGGGCAGGGCAGGGCAGGGAAGACGGGACTTCCTTCAAGTGAACGTAGAGAAGTCAGAGGTGATGATGATACCCAACCAACAAACACAACAACAAACTCCAATCACCATCAATGGGAGAAACTTGAAAGAAGTAGCCTCTTTCACCTATCTTGACAGCACTGTTTCAACTACAGGCGGCACAGGCACAGACGCAGACGTCAAAGTCAGCCAGGGTCGGAAACACAGCAAGACAGGCATTCATTAGCCTGAAACCAGTGTGGAGATCTTCTGCACTCAGCATGTGGAAAAACATCCAGATTTTCAACACCGATCCAGTCAAGTCAGTGCTCCTGTGTGGCTCAGAGACTTGGCACGTTATCAAAGGCATTTCCAACAAATTACACACATTCATCAACAACTGCCGCCTACACTCAACAAATATGCAGAAGGAAGAGAGTGGAGATGGATTGGGCATACACTGAGAAGGCTGACTTGGGACATCATGTTGAGGCCAGACCGTCGAGTGGAACCCAGATGGGAAGCTACGAGTTGGGCGTGGGAGGTGATGGTGACATGTAGGATATTTCGTGGGGAATAAATGAGAAGTTGTGAGCTGTCGTGGAGGCAGGTTCAAAAGATTTCAGAGAACAGAGCGCACTGGAGACGTGCTACTGAAGCCGTATAATCCATTAGGAACCCAAGGGAAAAATAATAATCATGATAAAAAAATAATTTTGTTTAAGCAGATGTATCCAATTTATTCTTATGTTATCAAGGGGGAAAATTTGTTCCTGCATAGACTGGCTAGTTCCTTCAGAGACAATGAAGAATTCATTCTCGTTTGCATAACCAATAAATTCATAATTTGAATGAATCTCTTGTTCCAGGTTTTGAAACTATTCTGTATGACTTCCTACAGAGTCAAAGGGACGGAGCGGCAAAGAAAAGCAGATAATATATAGGGATGCAGTGTATTCCTAGTAAATATTCTCAAAATACAATGAAGGGAACAAGTTATAGACCATGGGGGCTTCATTTCAATCGATAGTACCAATCAATTTGTCAGCGGCATATTTCTATTTATTTCACACTGCCTGACAGTTAATGACCAAAATCCGATGAACAAGTAGCCTGTAATAATTATAAAATTTTGAAAGACCAAATACATCTAAATAACGAACTGTCATTAATAACCTCTTACAAACCATGTTTCATGTTTACCATTAACAAAAACCTGCAGCATCTTAACTGGGATCTAAATACCATACAGGTAAACATTCCGGAGACTATGAGTGTTGGCGACACACTAGCAACGGACCCTAAAAAGGAGGAAGACTCAGTGGTTATTTTTCAACATGCATTTTGCAGTAGTTTATCAAGTCATTACACGTAGTCAGGTTGTTGCGTGACGCTTACAATCTATAAAGTTTCGTCCTAAATGAAACATCTATGCAATAAGGCTGATTACCGCTGAAGTGGACAGTGCTTGATACCAACGAGTGACTCGTCAGTAATATCTTGAAACCGTCAGAAATGAAGGCTATGTACTGCAAAATCTGAGAGATAAAACAACATTAAAGTTACTCGTTCCTTCGTGCTAAACAATAACAATTCTCAGTATACATTCGAAGTACGCAGCTGATCAAGGTCACTATTTTGGATATCCACGACATAATCCAAGGATTTCTTTGATTAAAAAGACTTACTCAGCTGAATTAAACCAACAATAAAAATCTGTAGGTAAGAGTGAACTGTTTATCGCTTTCCTAAACAGTTAGGAGTATATTATCATCATCCAGAACTTCAAATTTTACAGACAAATCTTTACTACTTTTGTCTTTTAAAGTAGCATGATAAATATTACAAAAACATACCATCAGTAACTTCTTTTTCTTCCTCCAAATCGTAAGACGTTAGTTCATTTTTAATATTTGTCAGTGCAGTATGTAGGTGCCCTCTTAAATTAGCGAATAACTGCAGAGTGATTTCAGACTCTTTATCCAAGAGTATATCAGATGCACGTAGGAAATCAAACTGCAACGAAGAAGATTATATATAAATATCACAAACTTAAAATATTACAAAGAATAAAAAAATTAATAAATCTAGATTGGTGTATCAGACTATAATGTCCTCCTGTGCAATTAATTACTCTTAAAAAAGTCTATGCATGAAACCATCAGGATTATTTCTAAGTATTATGAGGTGTTTTCATTGTACAAGTATCCATATTGGAAATTTTATTCACGGAGGGAAATAAAGACTATCCACCTGAGCTACAAATAGTACTCACCATTTCTGAATAAAAAACGAACATTTCTTACACGACGGTGTTGAAATCCCTATTGGTAGTCGAAATAAAATTGCAATGTGATAAGCAGAAAAAGAATCAGTTCACCAAAAACCATGAAAATAGTCGCAAGTTTTACTTTCAGAGAATTACTTCATGACGTAGAGATGATACGTTCCAAAAGTTCATTTGTTGAAAGGATCCTTAGAAAGATGAGTATATGATTTTTCAACGATCTATCGATACGCTTAGTTGGAATACTGGTTTACAACAATCAGTTAATTTGTTTATATCATAATAATGAAATAAGCTTTCAAGCAAGAAAGACAGTTTTTTACTTGATGGTGTGGAAAATTCTAGGACAATAAATTAAACTAATTAACAACAGATGATATGATTATTGTCAACCGGTTGAGTCTTAAAGGTAATATTATCTCAAGAGTTAATTAAATGAATATCAGATACCTATTCTAAGACACAATCTGTCTTTTAGTGCTAGATACAATGTTGAATAACCTCGCCTGGTTAACTAGTTTACTAGTTACTAGCCGGTCCTAAGCCCGGGTAAAGAAGGAAGGTTGGGCATAGGGCTAGCAACCCTACCCCCAAAAACAAATCTAACCGCTAAAGAAACTTCAAAGCACAAACAAAATATAAAAAATGAAAACAAACTTATTCCCCGCTGGAATCGGAGAGGCGAAATGACGCCAGTTGGTGAAAGCCTTCCTCCGGGAAGCCAATTGGCCGATGTGTCTTCTCTCGATGAAAGCGAAAGTAAACGTGGGGACATGGAATGTCCGCACGATGTTTGAACCCAGTAAGGCAGCCCAGATTGCAAATGAGATGAGAAGGTATAACATCGAAGTGCTTGGGATTTGCGAAAGCAGATGGAATGGGAGTGGACTCTCCAAACTGTCAACTGGAGAATCAATAATCTACTCCGGTCACCCAGACGCCAACCACGAGCACACTGAGGGAGTGGCTATCATGATGTACTCAAGAGCATCGAAGGCTCTCATGCAGTGGGAACCAATCTCCTCCAGGATCATGACAGCAAGATTCAACTCAAAAGGAAGGAAGAAAGGTCACAATCATACAATGTTATTCACCTACAAATAATGCAGAGCAAGAGAAAAAGGAGGAATTCTACAGACAACTTCAATCAACACTGGACAAGACGTCAGTTGGCGATATCAAAATTCTGATGGGCGACATGAATGCCAATTTGGGAGGGGACAACACGGGAAGAGAACTAACCATGGGTCGAGAGGCGCTAGGTGAAATGAATGAGAATGGAGAATTGTTTGCAGAATTCTGTGCGTTCAACGATTTGGTGATTGGAGGCAGTGTGTTCAGGCACAAGGATATCCACAAAGCGACATGGACTTCACCAGATGGACACACTAAAAACCAAATCGACTTTATCTCAATCTCAAGAAAATGGAGACGCAGTCTACTTGACACAAGGTGAAGAAGAGGAGCAGATGTAGGTTCAGACCACTATCTAGTGCAAGGGACCTAACTTCCAAATCAAGTTAAAAGCCTTCAAGGAAGCTGGTGATAGACCTCAATTCAAGTACAACACTCGGAAACTGAAGGATGAAACTACAAAGGAGATCTTCAAAGCAGCCATCAAGACAAAATGGGAGACGTCGAGGGACATCCCTGAAGAAACCTGTGTAGAAGAACACTGGAAGTCTTTGAAAGCTATGTGGAAAGAAACCTGCACAACAGTATTAGGAAGGAAGAAGAAAAAAGACAAGGAATGGATCTCGACGGATACCTGGAAGCTGATAGAGGAGAGGAGGATGGCGAAGCAGAAGATAAACCAGTGCATGGATGCTCAACGACAAGAGGAACTGAGCACAATGTATAAAACACTGGATAAAGAAGTGAAGAAGAGTGCACGCAAAGACAAAAGACACTTCTACGAAACACTGGCAAGTGAAGCAGAACAGGCTGCAGGTAAGAGAGACCTGACGACATTGTATCAAATAACCAGGTTGCTATCAGGGAAGAGACCAACACAGATGAAACCAATAAAAGATGAAGAAGGAAATTTAATTACGAAAGAAGAGAAACAGAGGAAACAATGGGCCGACCACTTCAAGAAGCTCTTGAATCGACCACCACCTGCACTTCGTCCAGAAATACCACCTGCAGCCGCTGAATTACAAGTGAACATAAATCCCCCAACGAAAATGGAAGTCCTGAACGCCATAAAGCTACTGAAATGCGGGAAAGCAGCAGGACCAGATGGAATACCGCCAGAAGCACTGAGAACAGATGCAGAGACAACAGCGGACATGCTCACACACACCACTCATGCAGAAGGTGTGGAGGGAAGAGAAGGTACCTGACGATTGGAAGAAGGGTTACCTTGTCAAACTACCGAAGAAGGGAGACCTCAGTGCTTGCAAGAACTGGCGCGGAATCACTCTCCTATCCACCCCAAGTAAAATATTAAGCCGCATCATCCTGGAGAGGCTTAAAGATGCACTGGATTCAAAACTGCGACCGAAACAGGCAGGCTTCAGGAAGTACAAATCATGTGCTGACCAAATTGCAACGCTTCGTATCATCATAGAACAGAGCATAGAATGGCAATCAGCTCTCTACCTCAACTTCATCAACTTTGAGAAGGCCTTTGACAGCGTCGACCGAGAAGTAATTTGGAAACTGCTTCAATACTACGGAGTACCGCAAACCTTTATCCGCCTCATTCAACAACTATATGAAGATGCCAGATGCCAAGTAATCCACAATGGGAAGCTCAGTGATGCCTTTGAAGTGAAGACAGGAGTGAAACAAGGTTGCCTACTATCCCCCATGATATTCTTGATTGTGGTGGACTGGATCATGCAGCAAACAGTAGGCAGCGAGAATAGGGGGATACACTGGACGACGGAAAAGAACCTAGAAGACTTGGATTTCGCCGATGACTTATGCCTAATGTCACACAAACTTGAAGATCTGCAGGCAAAAACTAACAAGTTGACAGAAGGGGGGCAGCGAAGACGGGACTTCAGGTGAATATAGAGAAGACAGAAGTGATGAAGATACCGTGCCACCACCACCAACAACAACAAACTCCAATCACCATTAACGGCAGAAACTTAAAGGAAGTAACCTCCTTCACTTATCTAGGAAGCACTGTCTCAAATACAGGCGGGACAGATGAGGATGTCAAAGTCAGAATCGGAAAAGCAAGACAGGCGTTGATTAGCCTGAAACCATTGTGGAGATCTTCAGCACTCAGCATGTGGAACAAGATACGGATTTTCAACACCAACGTCAAGTCAGTGCTCCTGTATGGTTCAGAGACTTGGCGCGTCACGAAAGGGATTTCCAATAAACTACAGACATTCATCAACAACTGCTTACGCTCACTCGCTACTGAAGATCAGATCAGATGGCCAGAAAGAATAAGCAACAAGGAACTTTGGGAACGAACCAACCAAGAACCTATCACGCAACAAATATGCAGGAAGAAGTGGAGATGGATTGGCCATGCACTGAGAAGGCCGACTGAGGACATCACGCGTCAGGCCCTCGAGTGGAATCCCCATGGGAAGCGACGAGTTGGACGTCCGTGGTGAGGGTGACATGGAGGAGGTCGTGCGAGGAGGAAATGAGAGCTTCTGGGCTGTCGTGGAACCAGGTTCAAAAGATCTCAGAGAACAGAGGTCACTGGAGGCGTGCTACTGAAGCCCTATGTTCCACTAGGAACCCAAGGGACTAACAATATAATAATAACAATGTTGAATAGTACAGTTATATTACCTACAACATTATGTACCAATTCCAGTGCATCTACTAAAGGAGTTACCCTGAAGAAACTGGAAAGAGACAGCTACTTTGCGCTGATTCAATATATAATAAAAGGCGTAAGCGTTTTTCCTAAGGTAGGAATTTAGTCAACCTTATTTTCATGTGAGATTAAGGGTCATGTCTCCATCAAGTATAAGCTTTCGGTGATTACTCCGTAAGACTCCTAAATCCAAAAGAAAAATATATCTACAACCTTCGGGTCTCTTGTGGTTCTCGAACCGCTATCAGTTCATGTTTAAAACTGCTTGATATCAATTATTGATATGACTCAAATGTAGTTGTGTTTGTATGTTTTCCAATGACAATGTATTCACGTCTCATTTACCATAAGAAACATTTTGCGGATACATGTCCAGTGTTACCATCATAAATCAGTTTTCCCAATTTGTTATAACTTTGAAATGATCAATTGCTTTAATAACCTATTAAGCGGATGACTATTTGTTCATATACTTTTAATACTACGTTGTTATATGAATTCATCAGCATATGTTAGCATATGGACTCCGATGCGGCTTCATCGATATTACCTGAATATTTATCGTTATAATTTACTTTATTGTGGCTAACAGAGGAATCCACGATACTCATTTCATCCTATGTGGGACTTTTCAGATGGATATACTTTCACCCCAGTGGGTGGTGTTATTTTCACCAAAACCAGAACCTCGTACTCATCGCTTCAAACGCAGAGATTCAAGTCCCGCTGGTTACAACACCACTCATTGGGGTGCGGGTACATCGGGCTAATGAGCTCCAAATTGTACGAAACACACATCTTGAATTCTTTTGCTAGCCATAATCAAGTAGATTACAACCAGCAGATGCCTAAATTCATTTGAAATCACACGACGATTTCTTGAACATGATATATCTAAATATGTTAAAAATACATTCAGTTTGGAGGTTTGTG